CTTTCCACGCCATCAACCACCTGGGAAAGCACGCCCCCAATACCTGTGTTGCTCGCATCGGTGTCGAGCACAAAGGGTTTTGAAAAATCGGGGTAAATCAAGGGAGGGGCTTTAACCAGAGCGTCCCGAAGGGAGCTGAAAGCAGCCTCCTCCTCCTGTCCCCAATGGAAGCGGACCCCCTTTGACGTCAAAGCGTGTAGGGGTTTAGCAATTGTGGCAAAATCCGCGACAAAGCGTCGGTAATATGACGCGAACCCAATGAAACTCCTGACCTCTCCCACAGAGGTGGGAGTCGGCCAGGAGCTGACGCACTGCGTTTTGGCGGGATCGGTAGCAATACCTGAGCGTCCGACGATGTGCCCCAAATAACGCACCGATTCGCGTAACAGATGACACTTTTGGGGTTTAAATTTCAAATTAGCAGCCCGCATTTTGAGGAAAACCGCCCGCAACCTCTGGAGATGCTCGTCAAATGTTCTGCTAAAGACGATAACGTCATCCAAATAAATCAAACACGAATCCCATTGCAATCCAGCCAAAACCAATTCCATCAATCGCTGGAAAGTCGCCGGCGCCGAGTGGAGTCCCATCGGCAACCGGTTGAATTGGAAGAGACCGTGCGGTGTACGGAATGCAGTTTTAGGCTTAGAATCATCGTCCAGAGGAAGCTGCCAGAATCCCGAAAGCAAATCCAATGTGGAGAAGAATCGCGCTCCCGCCAAGGCGTTAAGCGATTCGTCAATCCGCGGGAGCGGGTATGCGTCAGCAACGGAAATTTTGTTGAGGCGGCGAAAATCGACGCAAAACCGCAACGAGCCATCCTGTTTCTTAACCAGGACGATCGGCGCTCCCCACGGGCTGGTAGAGGGAGAAATGATGTCGGCGGCTAACATGTCATCAACAGCCGATTTGACATGGTCCTTTTCGGCGGGACTTGACCGAAAGGGATTTTGGCGTATTGGCGCGCTGTCACCCGTATCAATATGGTGACGCAGCAGATGGGTACAGCCTAAATCGAATTTGTTCTGACTGAAAACGTCGGAAAATTCGCGCAGCAGTGTTTTAAGTTTTTGACGCTCTAAATCCGACAGGTCCGTCGATCCCGCACAAAGCGCCTCGAGCCACCCTTCATCGGTGTCCGAATGTGGATGCGGCAGAGGGACAGTGCCGACGTGATTCGCGACAGGTTCCTCACAGGGCACCGGCGTTGCGTGAGCAAGCACGGTCCCTTGAGGAACTACCACTGTCTGCGACCCCACATTGAGGACCGCGATGAAAGGGTCCCCGTCCCCTTTAACGATGGTCTGGGCCGGAATTAAATGAGGTCCGCTAACTCCGGCCCTAGATGGCCCCAGCGGAATTCCCTGGTCCCCAATGCCCTTAGCGAAGGGCCGACGAAGTTTGAGAGGCACCAACATTTGTGCCCCTGGCGGTACGCGAACCGTTTTGACGACGAACGCCGGTACTGTCGCGAACGCCGTTCGAGCCGCAGTAGGGGAAGGCAGAAACGCCATGCGTCGCCCCGACGGGAGCTCAATGCAGCCGTGGTCTATTAAAATACGAATCGGCATTTTGGCCAAGAAGTCCGTACCCAGCAGGCATGGAACCGCCAGCGAGGAGGAAACAAAAATCGGGCCGGACAATTTGATATCACCGATACAAATTTGGGCTCGAATCTGTCCAATGATGCCAAGTGAGCCCCCGTTAGCAGCATAGAATGGGACGTTAACCGGCAGTAAAGGACGGCTCTGGACAGGGAGAATATTGTAAATTAGTTCCGAAATGATGGTCGCCGATGCTCCTGTATCGACCAGGATGCGCACACAACCCCGTCAATGTGCCCTACCACGGCCGACGAGCCCGACGACGCAGCTACAACGCGATGGGCCAACATGGACCACTGGCTGGGTTCGATTTGTGTCCCCATAGTGGTGCGTGTTGGCCCGACGGTGCGCAATGTCGGCCCCCCGTTCGTTGTGGTGTGCGAGTGTGTGACGGGCGTGTGCATGGGCCAAACATGGGGGGTGCCGCGACTCGCCGGGTTATGTTGATGGAGCTTGGGAGGAGGAGGTCCGGTGTCCTGTCAAGGCGTCGCCCCGCGCTGCCGAGGAGAGCGGCACCCCGAGGCGACATGCCCCGGATGCCGCAGTTGTAACAGCGCGGGAGCGCTGGCGGCGATGAGGGACGGTCGGAGCGGCTCGACCCGTCGCGGCCCGCCCGTACACCTGCCCTCTGCTGCTGTCGATGGTCGACGGCGTAAACGTCCTCCGTCGGGAGGGCGGCTGCAGCCACCGCACGCCCGGCCGCCGTTCTGTTGGCCTTCCGTCGCTGCGACAGCAGGTTGGCGTGGAGGAGCCGCGCCGGCTGGAGGGAACCCATTTCCGTGTCCTCCTGTGCAACGACGGCGATGTCCAGGTCGTCCGCCAGCAGGAGGATTTTTTCCGTAACCATCGCGTCCACGCCTTCGTCGTCCATGCGAGGGAAGGCCGTCTTCGCCAGCGCCAGGAGACTCGTACGATACGCGAGGGGCGACTCCTTTGCCCCCCGCTGGCGATCATAAAAGCGCTGCCTGCATTCCGCTGAAGGTCCGTAGACCGCGGCCAGCAACTGCAGCGCCATCTGAAGCGTGGAGCGTTTTTCCTTGGGCGCCGATGTAAGAGCGGCGAGGGCGTCGCCGTCGAGAAGCGCCGGCAGCGCGCAGAGCGCCTCGGCATCCGACCACTGCGCCATTTCCTGGTGCGCTAGGAAGCGCCGCTGGAAGCCGCCCCAGTCGCCCTCCTCGCCCACAAACTCTTTGAGTGGGGGCAGCCGTTGGTGCAGCGCAGTGGTCGCCGTGGAAGCTCGAACTTTACTGTCTCCGTGAGTCGTCTGTGCCTCGGCGCGAACAACGGATGGCATCGCCGGTCCCACCAGTGGTGACGCTCCATCCGCTGGTGATGACGCGGCAGCCCCTGCGAGGCCGATGTCGGACCCGAGGTTCAGGCCGGCCACGCCTTCAGCAGCTGCAGCGGCGATGGCGGGAGATTCAAAGTTGGCGTCCGTTGAAATGGCAGGAAGGCGCGCCGGTCGTCGGCTATCCTCGCCCCGTGGCGGTCCAGCAGCGCCCAGCCGTGTGATGTGTTTGAGCGTGGCGGCAGCAGCGTACAGCAGCTCCGCCAGCCTCGCGTGAGCCAGCCTCAGTCCTTCTGATGCCGGCTCCTCTTCATCCCGACGCCCAGGTAAGGATGCGTCCGGCCCCGGCTGCTCGATGCCTCCCGCAGCCGTCTCGGGCTCCAGAATTTCATCGGTGTCCTCCGCCTCTGGTACCCCGGCATGAGCTGTCCGGCGCGTGTCCATGTTCGTTGTCGTTCACTTCTGTCACCAGATGTAGTACCGTTGAGGACGCTTGGACACTCGGGTTGAGGCACACGTATTTATTCCGCACAGTGGTTACAACCGCGGGCATACAATACTAGAGGGGGTATCGGCCCCCTCACCCGGCTAGCTGGGAATACACTGCTAGCTATCTCTAACCTACCTCCTAGTCCTCCGCTAAGAGCTAGGGGAGGCTATCTGGCCCGACACTGGTGAGTCGGGCTACGGTACCCGGAGTCCCAGAGCACTAACTCTGGTTCTCGGGACCACGCCGCTGGCTCGGTCCTGCGCGGCCCTGACAAGGGCGGCGTTCCAGGGGAGTCCAGGACTCTAGCTAGATGATCTTGGGTCTTCACGCCTTTAGCTGTAACATTCTGCCCCGAGCCCTCCGGCTCATCCCCTTTTATCTCCAACCCCCCGCTGAGGGGTGGGGCCCCCCGGGGGATCACACTCCGGGCCAGCCCCCCAGGCTGCCTGGTGCGGACGTCGTTGCGAGCGCGTCCCCGTGTGCTCACGGAGCCCCGCCCACTGTGTTTGTTTCCCGTGTGATCCCATGTATACTGGCCCTCCGTAACACCCCTACACATGCATGCGTGTCTGCTGCCTATGTTGTTGCCGTGTCTGTGTTTTATCTTTGTGTGTGTCTCTCTCTGCATGTTGTCTGCCTGTGTTGTTTCCGTGCCTGTGTTTTATCATTCATTCTTACCTGATGATGGTTGCTTGTGTTGCAACCGAAACGTCGTATTCTATTACTATTTGATTTGATTTTCTACGTGACTTTACCGAAAGAACCAAAGAGTAACACCGTTCTTACCGCTTGAATTATTTAAACCAATTTTTGTGAGAGAATGGAAGTAATATCTGAATTTACCATTCTATATTTAGCCACACAATGTAATTTAACTTTTATTGGAACCAAAATTATACTAATACATTATCCTGGTGAATTTTGTCTGATAATGACATAATTAAAAATGGAAATTAGTTATTTAAGCAACAAGATTTAAAAAATGGTACTGTTTTATTGAACCAGAAGAACCTATGCATCGATATATATCTCCATGGCTTGTTTTTAAACCTTAGATTTAAAAACAAATATTTTAAAATATATATATTTCATTTATTGTGGCGGAGCAGTGGTACTGTAGTCGTGTACCGTGCTATGAACCTGGCTGCCTAAATTTAATTCACGACTACAGCTAGTATCCGTGGCGAGTGATATCAGAACCAGTCCTTAACTCCTTTACCAATCTGTACTGACCGGTGTGGGGAAGTATGGTCAAGCAACCCCCACAACCAATATGGCATGGGGAGGTCTTCATCCAATCGTAGAAAGGACTGTAGATTGCCTCTACAGTATATTCAATTTCAAGGTGAGCTTTTAATTACAGTTGGTTGCATAATGCTGGTCACGTGTTGCCGATTGCATATTACTCGTGTATTGCTGGCCGTGTGTTGCTGGTGACATTGCTGGTTACACGTTGCTGGTTGCGTATTGATAGTTGTTTGTTGCTGGTTACGTTAGGTGCGTGTTGCCGGTGGAATATTGCTGGCTGTGTGTTGCTGGTCGCGTGTTACTGGTTGTTGTTTGCGTGTTGCTGGTTGTGTCCTGCTGGTTGCATAGTGCCAGTTGCGTGTTGCTGCAGGAGGAGCGCCATGCAGGCCGGTGTGCGTGTGGTGCGGGGCCCGGGCTGGAGCTGGCAGCAGCAGGATGGAGGAGAGGGAGGCCTGGGGACGCTGGTGGCCGAAGGCAACTGGGGCACAGAGCGCAGCTGTGGCGCCGTTGTGCAGTGGGATTGCGGTGGCCGCTACAAGTACAGGCTTGGGGTTAACGGGCACTACGACCTACGTCTGTATGACAACGCACAGACAGGTCAGCCTCGTGGCAGCCAGCCCAGCTTAAGGCCCTGTCGCACATAGCAAAAACTTGCAAGATAGTTTTGTGTGTTTGTATTCAGTTGTATTTTCGCTGAAAGCCATTGCTTCCAGATATACTGACAGCGATTTGAAAATTATCTAAGAAATATGTATTTATTATTATGAATGTATGCTCAGGTGATGCTTTGATAGCCACACAACAATACTGCTTGAGAGTGAACTCAGACCTATCCTCCCTACATGGCTGATAAAATTAGAATCACATCGTAGGAAGTCATCCATTGTTGTGCAATAAAGAGACCAGTTCCGACCTTAGGAATGTGGAATATCCATCATATATATTTTACTTCGACCTTGATGTATGAAAAGCTGGATGACTGCATTCATTTTTACTGAATCAGATGCTTTTTAAAATGAAATTCATTATTTGTATATGGTCAATAAAAAAACCCCATCTGAAATCACCAAAACAGTGTAACCTCCACTGAATGCCTAAACTAAAGATCGGGAAATCATCTTAGCCTGTGCCGTTGAATGCCACCACACCTCACCAACCCTTCCTAAGCTCTGCTAATTCACACATGTAACATGGCAGTAGTTGGGTACCGATGTAGTAGACACAGAACCCACACAGTCACCTCGTACAGTTTCCTACTAATGGACCAAAGGTATTCCTCTTGGTTACCAAGATTTGGGTATCCACTCCAGATGGGTACCCACAAACAAATGAATCGCATCATCCTTTGTGTGTTGACTATGAATAGCACCTAATCATTGTGCGTCCACATAATTGCAATTTCATCTGGTGCTTGATCCAAACGTAAATCACACTGTCCATGAAGGATGCAACTGCAGATGTGTACGCATTGCCACACTAGGCACTCAGCACCTCGGGGTGATGTGCGATGGCTGCGGAGAAAAGTGGATCTGGGGCATCCGCTGGAAGTGCAGGGGGTGCCCCGACTTTGACTTGTGCACGTCGTGCTACATGGGTGACAAGCACAGCTTGAGCCACGCCTTCAACCGCATCACCTCACCAGGCTCGCCGAGGTAAGCTTGTCCCCCTCTTTACATATAAGACATTGCAGTAACTACAATATGGCAAAAGCTCTGTTAACTAACACCTTGCCATTTGGATTGCTTTATTAACTGGCATCTGTCACAGACGGCAATAGAAATCTTCCTTCACGTATCCGGAAAAAATCTAAAAATTGTATTATGTAGAATTAATTTGGCAGTTCCTATAGGCACAAGTTGACTCAGCACGTGGTCTGCAATCGGGAATTGCCTGCTAGTAGGGGGTGGATGATTTCCATGGGTAATCCCAATTCAGTAATTTACGGATAAGTTTTCAAATGTGGAAAACTTGGACACTGACACCGGCACACAGTGGCCGACTCATTGACGTTCGGAATACATTGTGAAAAAGGCGGCGCGTACACTGGCAGTAATAACCGGGGTGGTCTGGCGAAAATTCAGACCATGGACCTCTGCAACAACGTGGCGAAAGCGCTACCACTGGTCTATGTCAGTGCCCCGCCGAGTGCAGCTCCACGGTGCGGGAGCCTGGGCTGTGCTGTGCTGATCCCTTTGCTCTCCCGTTGTTCTCAGTGTGCAGGTGCCAGCGCGGCATATGGCCAGGAAGGTGCCTCTGAAGGGCATCTTCCCAGAAGCTGTGGTCATACGAGGGCCTGACTGGAAGTGGGGCAACCAGGACGGTAACTGACACATTTATTCCCATAATACAGAAACACATGACACATGTAATACAGTGAGGGAAAAAAGTATTTGATCCCCTGCTGATTTTGTACGTTTGCCCACTGACAAAGAAATTATCAGTCTATACTTTTAATGGTAGGTTTATTTGAACAGTGAGAGACAGAATAACAACAAAAGAATCCAGAAAAACGCATGTCAAAAATGTTATAAATTGATTTGCATTTTAATGAGGGAAATAAGTATTTGACCCCCTCTCAATCAGAAAGATTTCTGGCTCCCAGGTGTCTTTTATAAAGGTAACGAGCAGAGATTAGGAGCACACTCTTAAAGGGAGTGCTCCTAATCTCAGCGTGTTACCTGTATAAAAGACAACTGTTTACAGAAGCAATCAATCAATCAGATTCCAAACTCTCCACCATGGCCAAGACCAAAGAGCTTTCCAAGGATGTCAGGGACAAGATTGTAGACCTACGCAAGGCTGGAATGGGCTACAAGACCATCGCCAAGCAACTTGGTGAGAAGGTGACAACAGTTGGTGCGATTATTCGCAAATGGTAGAAACACAAAAGAACTGTCAATCTCCCTCGGCCTGGGGCTCCATGCAAGATCTCACCTCGTGGAGTTGCAATGATCATGAGAACGGTGAGGAATCAGCCCAGAACTACACAGGAGGATCTTGTCAATGATCTCAAGGCAGCTGGGATCATAGTCACCAAGAAAATAGTTGGTAATACACTACGCCGTGAAGGACTAAAATCCTGCAGCGCCCGCAAGGTCCCCCTGCTCAAGAAAGCACATATACATGCCCTTTTGAAGTTTGCAAATGAACATCTGAATGATTCAGAGGACAACTGGGTGAAAGTGTTATGGTCAGATGTGACCAAAATGGAGCTCTTTGGCATCAACTCAACTCGCCGTGTTTGGAGGAGGAATGCTGCCTATGACCCCAAGAACACCATCCCCACCGTCAAACATGGAGGTGGAAACATTATGCTTTGGGGGTGTTTTTCTGCTAAGGGGACAGGACAACTTCACTGCATCGAAAGGACGATGGACGGGGCCATGCACCGTCAAATCTTGGGTGAGAACCTCCTTCCCTCAGCCAGGGCATTGAAAATGGGTCGTGGATGGGTATTCCAGCATGACAATGACCCAAAACACATGGCTAAGGCAACAAAGGAGTGGCTCAAGAAGAAGCACATTAAGGTCCTGGAGTGGCCTAGCCAGTCTCCAGACCTTAATCTCATAGAAACTCTGTGGAGGGAGCTGAAGGTTCGAGTTGCCAAACGTCAGCCTCGAAACCTTAATGACTTGGAGAAGTTCTGCAAAGAGGAGTGGAACAAAATCCCTCCTGAGATGTGTGCAAACCTGGTGGCCAACTACAAGAAACGTCTGACCTCTGTGATTGCCAACAAGGGTTTTGCCACCAAGTACTAAGTCATGTTTTGCAGAGGGGTCAAATACTTATTTCCCTCATTAAAATGCAAATCAATTCATATCATTTTTGACATGCGTTCTTCTGGATTCTGTTGTTGTTATTCTGTCTCTCACTGTTCAAATAAACCTACCATTAAAATTATAGACTGATCATTTCTTTGTCAGTGGGCAAACGTACAAAATCAGTAGGGGGTCAAATACTTTTTTCCCTCACTGTATGTAACAAGATACAGTGTATCAAGTCTTAATTTTGGAGCTTTCGTGACTGCAGGAATTATTCTTTGGTTCTTTCGGTAAAGTCACGTATAAAGATAAAACAATAAATTAAATAATAGCATACTACGACGTTTCGATTGCAACACAAGCAATTATCATCAGGTATAAAAGAAATAGCAACAAAAATCTAACCAGAAAACTATAGACAGACATATAAGCAGACAGACATAATAAAGATACACAGAGAGAGAACACGTATCGGCACAAAGAGAGAGGTCGTCTCTGTGACGGGGCCTTAAATATAGAGAGGGAGCGGGGGCGGAGAGAGGGAGGGGGCAGAGAAAAAATTACCATGTCAATGAGTGGACAACGACGTGGTACGGTACGCAAGCTTGAAAATTAGGAGAAAGACACACTAAAATTAAATAACCTAGTAAAATATCGAAATGTAATGTAATGCAACACAGAGAGTCGGTCAACACACAATTAACGCATAGCCCGGTTGATTACTTATGTCAAAGATTGCTAAGTTAGAATTTAAGTGTGAAAATTCCAAAGAGAGGACACAGGCAGAGAGAGAAAACCAAAAAACCAGAGACAGAGAAAAAAGATAAGCTTAAAACTTCCCCGTAGAAGTGGTTCAATCTTAATTTTGGAGATTTCGTGACTAATTTATTATTTTATCTTTATACGTGACTTTACCGAAAGAACCATAGAATAATTCCTGCAGTCACGAAAGCTCCAAAATTAAGATTGAACCACTTTTATGGGGAAGTTTTATGCTTATCTTTTTCCTCTCTCTCTGGTTTTTTGGTTTTCTCTCTCTGCCTGTGTCCTCTCTTTGGAATTTTCACACTTAAATTCTAACTTAGCAATCTTTGACATAAGTAATCAACCGGGCTATGCGTTAATTGTGTGTTGACCGACTCTCTGTGTTGCATTACATTACATTTCGATATTTTACTAGGTTATTTAATTTTAGTGTGTCTTTCTCCTAATTTTCAAGCTTGCGTACCGTACCACGTCGTTGTCCACTCATTGACATGGTAATTTTTTCTCTGCCCCCTCCCTCTCTCCGCCCCCGCTCCCTCTCTATATTTAAGGCCCCGTCACAGAGACGACCTCTCTCTTTGTGCTGATATGTGTTCTCTCTCTCTGTATGTATATGATGTCTGTCTGCTTATATGTCTGTCTATAGTTTTCTGGTTAGATTTTTGTTGCTATTTCTTTTATACCTGATGATGATTGCTTGTGTTGCAATAGAAACGTCGTAGTATGCTATTATTTAATTTATTATTTTATCTTTATACGTGACTTTACCGAAAGAACCAAAGAATAAGTGTATCAAGTATTATGCTCAGATATGTGGTGTGGTGGCGTTGTGATTAGTTCACTGAACCAAAACCGGCCAAGGCTAACATCAGTTGCGAGTAATCGCACCAGATCATTATCTGCTGGTTTAGAAGATGTTATTGACCATATTACTGTCACTCTCCAATAGTATCTGTTAATCTAACGGTATTTGTCTGCATGCCCGATCCTTTCTATAAGTGTGAAACTAGTGTGCTTAAACAAATGCTATTTAAAAATATATATAGAAAGTCAATAAACATATTAATGGATTAGAGAAGATGTTCTTTTTATGTAAAGATACAGATTGATGTTTATTTATTTTCTGCCATTTTATCCTGTGAGAGCAGTGAATGTAGCCCCACCCGTAACACAGCAGCAGCATTTAAACTGGGAATGCACTTGAACTTTGTTGTCCCTGTGAGCTTTGCCGTCACCTCATGATTCATTGACAGCTGAACCCTCTCTTACTCTGTCCCAGGCGGAGAAGGCGGAAAGGGCCTGGTGTTGACCATTAAAGGTTGGGATAGCACCAGTCAGAGGAACGCCGCCCAAGTTCGCTGGAGAGGCGAGATCAACTCATACCGACTGGGCGCTTCCGGAAAAATGGACCTGCAGCTTGCGAGCCCAACTTCCAGTGGACGCCACTACTACCCAGACCACTTGTCTTGCCTAGGTGCCTCCTCTAATCGGACATCCACCATGGCCTGGAGAACTTACCATCTCCACGGCATCCTTTCGTCTGCAGAAGATGATGGGTTTTCATTTTTAACTTTGTGAGAGGATTTTAATTATTTGCACAATTCCTACGATCGGCCGATCCTGGTAAGGCAGAGCCTCCTGCCGCAGTTGTTGCGTCTGTAATTGTGATCCTGTCATGGCTGCCGACATTCTGATTGACAGGGCCAGCACGCTGCTCTGTACGGACGCGGTACTCGTCCCGCAACTGCTGAAACCAGCTCACGCCAAAGACTCGTGTGCAATTTTACTACATGAGTTAACATGCTTTAGAAGACACTTATGTTCAATAGCTAATGCATATTTTATCCCCTTATGCTATGTGTCATTAGGTTTTGTGTGTGTTTTTTATATCACTTAATTATTAATCTATTGCCAAACCATATGCCATTGAAATCACAGAAGGGGTCATCTTATATTCCGTAATATCATGATGCAAACCTTCAAGTGATTATCCACGTGTTTCTTAATTTATCATAAGCTACTTTAAATAAATAAAAATATTAGAGTGTAATTAAAGGTGGGCATTACACTACCGTGGGTTTTCCGTGCTTGACCCAGTGATCAAGCACATGTTATGTGACAAATAGAATCAGAACACATGGCTAAAGGAAAAGGTATAGTAACATAATATAATAGGCCTACCTCGGGTAAAAGGCCTTTTTTTCCTGGTGTTCACATGTGGCTTGTCTGTTGAGCTGCACCTCAAACCTGACCATGGCTGATGACGTAATTGCTGTTAGCCTTTCTTGTCCTGTTAGCACCAAGACAAGAAATGCCTTATACCCCACACAGGCCTCTTACCCCAGCCTACCTTATGTATTGAAGAATATTGCATGCAAGTAGGTAACATTTGTGTAATAATTTCCAATAGAATAATATCTTACAGTTGTCATTCATCAGTCCACTGCTATATTAAGACCTCTCCACAGCTTGTTGGTCGTGGGGGCTGTGAAGGTGGTCTTGGGGGCCGGTTGATCTTACTTGACCACGCTTGTCAGTGTGGGTTTTGTAGAAGGAGAGACCAGGACCAGTTCAGATATCATGTGACACTGTTGTTAGCCGTGGCTGGGAATCGAACTTAGATCGCCAGATTATTTGTGTGTACTATATTAAAAGATACCACGCTTTATCCTGCGCTGTAGAGGTGTGCATTGTGTGAATCCAGTCCACATTCGGGTGGATTTCTGAGTTAAATGTACAATATACTGCCCCTGATGGTACCTAGGGTTTGGTGGCATAGACTTGGCGAGCTTGGGTCCTCGGCATACGCTTGTTCAGTCACAATCTCGTGTTGCTAAAAATACAAGATTATGCGGAGACTTCTGCCCGGCGATGGTAACAGACTGAACCCCGTTACCCCTTATTTTAGAGGCCTCTAAGTGCCGTGCTCACTGCTGTCATCAGCAGCCACGTTTTTACCAGAGCATCCTGTGGCCTGTGCGTGCATGTGTGCGTGCTCAGGTGAGGGGGACAGCATTGAGCAGGGCTTCTGTCTGGGCGACACCGTGAGGTGCGGAGTGGACGGACAGACCCTCATGGTACTGCAGCAGGAGCATGGTGGATTCTCAGTTGCTATGGCATTGGTAAGAGTATGGGAAGACATCTCGGTCAGGGCTGCCCAGAGGGTAAGGGTGGGTGGACAAAGGGACAATTTTTTCCCAGGCCTCACATAGATGAGAGTCCCACAACGGGCTTGGATTTGTTGTCACGATTCTACTGAACTCAACTAAAAACTAAACTATGTTTTATTTGACCAGGTAAGTCCCACAGCTACGTAGCTCTTTTTCAGAAGCGACCTGGCCACAAATGATAGCTCAACAAAGTGGCTTATCGTGTGGAAATTCATAGCAGCCAAATACTCTTAAGTGCATGTATCTAAATGTGGAGGGGAAAAACCAGAGGACCCGGAGAAAAATCCACATGACCATGGGGAGAGAAACATGCAAACTCAAAATATACAGGTATCTGGGTCGGGATCGAACCCACGATATCCTGCATACCAGGCGAGGGAGTTAATATCTTGCCACCACGGCGACTTATTCAATAATGGGACCCCATGTGGCAGTCTCTTCCAGGCCTTTAGCTCCAGGCTCCCAGGAACCTCTGGCGGTCCTGATCCAGGTCTCTTTATAAACTAGATACACCACTGCTCCTGCATTTACTCAAATTACAAACGTTATTTTGCTATGAAATTAACAATGTGTGCAACAAGCAGGCAACAGGCTTGTAGCATACTTGCTGCAAAGTCACATTTGTATAAGTTCAGCGATGCGTTTTAAGAGATTGTTATCCTTGTCTCATATTTTAACATGTTTGTTATTCTGTGTATTGCGTAGATTGCAGCACGTCCTGGAAAAGTGGCTGGTTTGATTGACAATGGTGATGTGTTGGTGGTGTACAGCAACGGTGCAAAGTATATTTACAACCCCAAGTGTCTCATCAAGGTAAAGACAGCACAATGCATATCACATTTGCAATTACAACACAGTCGTTTTGGATTGTAATATCTCTGATCTTTAGCCCTTCCTGTATAGCATTAATAAACGATAATTCTAGAAATGTGAATAACTGAAAATATAGAAAATTTTAAGTTTAGTGGATGAAAATGATCAGACCTATTTACGAAATAAATATACACAAATGAAATACGGTGCCTCAACTAGGGTTAAAGTTTATTTAGATATATTAGATTTGTTTTCGTGTTTTTATATGTAAGCAAGTGCATTCTAATACAAAGCGATCATTTATCACCGTTATTCACTTTTCTCAGCCTCGTAAAAATGTGCGTTGATGATGCCAAAAATGACGATGATAATCGCGGATGGTGGCGTTGATGCTGATGGTTGTGTATATTTTTTATAACGGGTAAATTATCACAATGAAGTAGCAAGATTGCAGAGAGAATGAAATTGACGATGTAAGACAGTGGTCAGGAGTGAAGTAAAGACTGGTCAGGAGTGAGGTCAAGGAGAGAAGATGCAGTGGTCCGGACACGTCGCGGGAATGAGGCCAGACAGGATCCTGCAATTAGCGACGCTGCATGCGCGGAAGTGAATGGGAACAGGAGTAAGGTAAGACAGAAAAGCCAAGGGGATGGATGCAGGAGTGAGGCATCTAGATTGAAACTGATTGAAAGTGAGTGAAGTAGTGATACCAGCTAGAGAGAAATAACCACGGCAGACATTGGTTTCACCCCAGTGTCACTCATGAACTGATGTAAGGGACATTGCACGATGATGACTTCATAAGCTTTAGTGTGGCGATGGGGTGTAAAATTATACCCGTTCACAAATCTGTGCTTATTTTAAAAAACGTCCGTTGCAGGTGTATTCTGTGGGTGACACAGTTCGAATCGGCAATAATAAGGCGGAGGTGGAGCGGCTGCAGTTGGGCCATGGGGGATGGGCAGATCCCATGACCAAGGTAAGACATTACTTGAGACACCAGCCGCACGAAGCACCCACACCTGCCTCGCGATGTCACTTTGCCAACCAACCCTTCCTATCTGGTGCACCCGGAGCACTCAGTCGTTGTATTCTGTGAATACATCCATCAGTCTACTGTAAAGGACTGTACATTACTGTATAAAAGTAATGAATGCTCTATAGCAGTAATGGGCAACCCAAACGAGTTAGTGGCCCACATGAGCGGCCCTCCTCCACTTCAGTGGGCCACAAGCTTGACATCGTGCTTGTGCACTAACCATTACCCCACGCATCATCCTAGGGACACACTGAGACCAGGCCACCACGAGGGCTCGACGGAACACATGCAGCCCGCGGGCCGCAGGTTACCCACCGCTGCTCTATAGTCTTACATAGTCACGGCAATTTGAAGCATCCTTAACAAACAACAAATAGTGTAAGTACATGAATGATAGTGGCCTCATACTAGGATGGGATTCGCACACCGATTTTGTATGCAAGTGGTTGAAGCGGCGTCCCTTGTGTGCTCTTGGCAGACGCTGGGTCGGGTGGGCCGGGTGGTAAAAGTGCTTCCGAGTGGTGACCTTCGTGTGGCTCTGGGAGGCCACATCTGGAATTTTAACCCGGCCTGCGTCAGCACTGCCGACCCGAAGTCGCTTGATCTGGCCGAGATGTCCGAGGACAGCGCCGCAGGTAGGAGGAGGAGAGCTGCGCGCGGGAGAGAATTGGAGCCATTTCCACTCCGAGGGGCGACACTGTCTGCACGTGCATACAGTTCAGTCTCGGGTAGATTTTTCCGGGTTTTTGATTAAGCTTGCTCGTACACGCGCACTTTTTTTAACAGACCAGGCTGCTCCTCACTCGTCGAGGGTGATTAACTCGATTCCCCCGTTATTGTCACGAATGAACCGTTCAGTATTTTCGTTTCTCTGGACCAACGCTGCCCCCCCCCCCTTTACCTTGAAGCCAGCTGCAAGGAATGACAATGGGGATAAATGTAAATACACAAAGATTTATCTTCATACAGAGTATTTGTTAGGCCTGATTCTAATCACTTCTGACACTCACCATGTGGGAGCATTGATTTTCAACTCTAGGATCTGTTTTTGTTATTAATTTGTTTTTATAATTTTTATTAACACTCCTGCATACCTGGCAACCCATATGGTTTATCCGTATTCTTGTATAGGGAAATTCAGTGAATTTTTTTTCTATGTTTGTTTGGGTTTCTCCCTTATTGTGGGTCTTTGTAGGATGAACGTTGAAATGTATAGGCACTGATAAGGGGTTGACAGGTATGCTACTGATTATATATATACACACCGCTATAAAGTCCACGTCTCACAAATTAAAAATAATCGAATATAAAATTATATTGTGTCCTTGAATCTGTAAACTTCATTTGAATTATTGATGGAATTAATCATTATGACCATTGCATTTAGTTATAAGTTTTCAACTGTTAGACATGTACATGCATACATTTTAAAAGAGAGAGTAATTTTATTCTGGGGTACAGATTTAAATAAAAATTACAATTATTGCACAAGCTTTTACAACATTAACCTTGTTGAGATGAGACATAATGTACGTAAACTTAAGAATCTGGCAATGATTTACTGTGCAACCCATTCAGCAACTACAAGTCAAGGAGTTTTGACCATTTTGATCGTGAGTCCTCGGCTAATATTGGAAATTCGTAAGGGGCAATTCTCTACATAGGCCACCACTGTTGACTTTGCACAGAGTGGTACTCAATGGATCAATTCTGGAGAAATGATGGGCTATAAATTGATCCTTGATTGGGCGCACAGGGCCACTTGGCGAGACCCATCCATCGTCAGGCCAATCAGTTTCAAGGACAATGCATTATATAATCAGAGCATGTTTGTATGCAGGTTTTGCCACAATTATGTGCGGTTCATGCAGACTTGATGCTTTGAAAAATGTATCTATTTGGTGATTGAACATCTTAACACAACTCCTGTTTTATTCTCAGAAAGGGTAAAGCCTATTCTTATATTTTTTATCATCCAAATTAATAGTGCATCCCTTAGGGCAGTGGAGAATTACATCGACTACAGAACCTCCTGCCCTCCTCATTGATAATAGCATTCACAGATACAAGGTGTAATTGTCAGTATGAGCATTGCGGTGTAAAATACAGAGTGGTTAAAAAAAATTGAGCCAATTTCATAGAAGTATATTTCACGATGGCAACATGTTACAATTACACAAAAAGTTATAAACTTTTAATGAGTTATCAAGTTTTATTAACCATTTTATAAATCATTATGTGCCCTCCACCTGTTGTACAGACAACATCGATACGATAGTTGAATTCGTCTCAAACGCCTCTCAAAGTGTCTTCTTCCACTGAAGTCACCACTGCCGTGATCCTCTTTTTGAGGTCATCCAGATTAGTCGCTAATGGTGGCACAAAAACACGGTCTTTGACGTATCCCCACAAGAAAAAGTCGCAGGGTGTGATGTCTGGGGATTTTGGGGGCCAAGAGTGTAGCGCCAAATCTTGGGGTCCCATGCGACCTATCCAACGTTGAGGCAGTGTGTCTTGCGAATGACTGAGGCTAGGGGCTGAGGCATCTAGCGATAATCATTTGAAACTATATGCCCCGCCCTTTAAAGTGGTAAGAGTTTCATTCATGGCCGGTTCGTGGTTGCAGAGATATAGCGATTTCAAATCGGGTCCATATTTTTAAAACACCCTGTATCGTAGTCCTAAAATTAAGTTTAAATAACTTTTTTTTACATTTCCTCAAGCAGTTGAACTGCCCCTCATATATGAGGTTCAATGTGTCTGTACAGCCTCTGAAGATACTGTATGGTTGAATCCAGCATTCTTAATCTTTCCCAAGTTAAAATAAATAGCTTTCATTCAACACTTGGGTTTCTTACAGATCCACTGGCGGGGCTGCTGATGAAATTGCTACTGAGTCATATCATTGAAGGGGACGACGACGATGATGATGACAATGACAAAGAGGAGCAAGCGGATGCTGCAGCGAGGAGTGCAGCCCGGCAGAGTCAGCCCCGCGTGGTGGCAAAGGAGTTGAAGCCAGAACAGCTCATCTCTGAAGCTGCCCAGGGAAACGTGGGAAATGTGCAGAAGCTCGTGCAGCTATTCCCTGGACAGGTAACAAATTATCACGTTAAAGTTGTTCAGCCTAATTCTAGATTTGAAGCTTTCGTGACTGCAATGATTCATATTCTTAGGTTTTTTCGGTAAAGTCACATAGGTAAAAACATTAAAAAGTAAAATAAAATAAAAATCACGACGTTTCGGAGGCAACACAAGCTTCCGTCTTCAGGTGGTACCGTCACAGCCACGACAGCTGTATCAAGTAAATGAGAGATTTCAGAAGCTACCACTCCGTTTATATAATGGTTGGAGAAGGTGTTGGGGCAAGGGCCGCATACTTTTTATTAATATGGTAAGGTGAGGGTTAAGACTAAGAATAGACTGCATAACAAAGGCTGAGCCTTTGTTATAGAGAGGTGCGGTTTGTGACTCAACCTATAACAGGGAGACCACCACTAAACATGCTGATATTGTAAATGTACTCTGTACGTTTGTGGATACCCATCTATGTGTAGTGACTGTGGTTGTCACTGTATGGTGCCGGGGCTTACGAAGCCAAGGCGGATAATGTGTTGTCATTATGGGCAGCCCGGGTTACGGGGTGTAGTACCAGCCCTAGCGGGGCTTGGGTGAGCGCTGGTCAGCGCGGAGGCACCGCGAGCAGTGTGCGGTGCGGGCTCCCGGTGAGGGAGCGAGAGGGAGTGTCAGCCAGCCAGGGTTACGTTGGGGCATGATACGCTGGTTGACCTGCCGACACGTGACCGGATGATATTGGAAAGGGGGCACCAGTGGACGGGGGCCTCGGGGCGGTCATGTGGACCAAAAAGCTCTCGGGAACCTTCGAGAAGGAGCTCGAGAGATCTGGAAGGTGGGCGGGGTGAAGGGAGGAGCCAGCCCCAGCCCGTGGAGAGCTCGGGGTTCTTCGTGTGCTGATGTTATGAAGATCCACGTCGTGGAGAAGAAGCCTCTAGCCATGTTTGTGGTCCAGACCGGGATAGCGAACCGTATCTAGTTCTGCCGTAGCGTGGTTAGATGGGCATTCGAGACCCGAGTGTAGATTGTGTTATGTTACGTACCGTTGTGTAAATAAATAGTGTTGCTCCTAAGATAATGTCTGTGACTCAGTTGGACTCACTACATATGTGCTAATGATATTTTTCCCATAAAGCCATGGAATTATATCCCCCAGCACAAGTTTCACATGTTACAATCGGCATATCTTCAAAAACAGAATAACGATTGAGCATCCTTGTTTTTCTGTTGTTGTTGTTGTTGCTGAAGTTAGTACAATATCACTAGGGGCCTCTAGTTGACTGACTGTGGTCCCCTCCCCAGAAACAAAACATCCTAATGCAATTATTAAAATCCTGTTCAGATAATATATGAAACAAAAGTTATTGAAAAATGTCCTAAATAAAACTATTAAATGTGTAGTGAGTTCTTTGTACGTATGTATGTTGAACTTCTTTCACACCGTACGTAGCCAACTGTGCTAATCAGAGATAACTTCACCAACCCCCACTGACCGGTATGGTGAAGTATGGTCAAATGACACCCATGACCGGAATGGCATGGGGAGGCCTTCATCTATCAGGGGGTTTATTGGCTGGGAGTGCATTCATGGCTCTTGATTTTTCATGACTGTTTCTGTATTTAATGGCCAAGAGCAAGTTTACTGACTGGTGGTGCATGTTCAGTGGGTGGTCTTTAATCACTGGTGGTGTGTTCAGTGGGTGGTCTTTAATCACTTGTGTTGTATTAATGGCTCATGGGTAGTTAGCGCACTGCACTCCGAACCTGGTTACCCGAGTTCGATTCCCACTCACAGCCAACACCAGTGACGATTATCTGAATCGGTTCTGGGCCTCCCCTAGGTCAAATCGGCCTCAAATAATTACTGGGTTCTATGTGTAAACATCTCCACTAGTGAGACAAAGGCGACCAAGCGTGGTGCTGGCCACCCATCTCCTCGTGTGCGGTGCCGGGCTTCAAATGTGCTCAATAACAGCACTTGCCCCAACAGTCTGTTAAGGCTATTGGGGAGATCTTTGTACTTGAACTAGATTAGAAGCTTGTGTGACTGCAGGAATTACTCTTTGGTTCTTTCGGTAAAGTCACGTAGAAAATAGTTTGAACCACCTCTATGGGGAGGGTTTACTCACAACTCATACTTTACGTCTAACTTAGCAATCTTTGGGAGAACGTTAATCAACCAGGCTATGCGTTAACTGTGTGTTAGCCGACTCTCTGTGTTGCATTACATTACACTCTCTAATTTTTACTAAATTTGTTGTCAATCTTCCTATTTCTCTCTCTAAATGTCTCCTTGCTTGTCTGTTCCACTTTCAACTTGTAATTTAGCAATCTTTGGAAGAACGTTAATCAACCAGACAATGCGTTAACTGTGTGTTAACCGACCCTCTGTGTTGCATTGCATTACACTTCGTAATTTTACTAAATTAGCTTTCTCAAACTTTCGATTTTCTTGCTCTAAACCATTGTCTATTTTCCGGCCACTGTGGTCCGGAATTCCACACTGCTCCCCTCGTTTGTCTGCTGGTCCTCTCGTTTTGTCCGCCTTCGCAGTCCTCTCTCTGCCCCGGCCCCTCCCCCTCCTTCTCTCTATTTAAGGCCTCGGCACAGTCGTTGTCCTTCTGTTTGTCTTGGTGTGTGTCTCACTCGGTGTGTCTTTGTGTGTGCCTCTCTCTGCATGTGTGTCTGCCTGTGTTGTTTCCGTGTCTGTGTTTCATCATTCTTACCTGATGATGGTTGCTTGTGTTGCAACCGAAACGTTGTATTCTATTATTATTTTATTTTCTATGTGACTTTACCGAAAGAACCAAAGAGTAATCTTTGTACTTGTGTAATCACTGGTGGTGTGTTCATGGCTTACGGTTGAGTGCCATATCTTGCGCTGCGTTCACATGCTTGTGGCATTGTGAATGACTGTTGCTGCGTTGCATGCCTAGCTGTGGTGGCGGTGTTGCTTTGCAGATCAACGCACAACAGGAGGGACGCACTGCCCTGCATGTGGCCGCTCACCAGGGACACATCGACGTGGCGCAGGCCCTGCTCAAAGCGGGGGCCTCTACTGAGATTGGCGACGACAAGGGCAACACGGCCCTGCACTACGCGGCACACGGGTAGCGCAACTCTGCGCTTTCCAACTTCGCAATTTACACCTTGCAGGCGGTTATTCTTCATAGTTCATATTTTACCTATGTTTTTTAAAAAGAACGTTTCGTTTAAAAAGCAGCCATGTAAATTACATAATTGTGTAACTGTTAAAAAGAAAATTCGTGGAAAAATACATTTGCTGCTTAAAAGAACGAATCAACTGTTTCCAATGGTTGTTGCAACGTGAACGCTGCAAGTTGTATGACATCTGGCTGCATGTTGTCATGTACAGCACTGTCTTCACATTACCTGTGAGTTTAAACGATGATAATTGAGGTGGTAAGTTATTGTAAATGTGGCAGTTTAATTTGTTTGGCTTTGTTAGGTGCAGGGTCTTAAAGACACACATTTGGCTGGATCATTATGTGGAATAACCCAAAAATCAATGATGATGTTTAGAATGAGCAGTGAAGAAAGCATAAGAGAGGCAAAGGAGGCATATTGGGTATTTGAGATGGGTATAATCTGTCTTGATGCTGATTTGTGTGCCTGCCTGAGAACATATTGAAGGTTGTGCCTTACCAACTTTCATTTATCGTTGCATTGAATAAGGTGCGTGTATCATGAAAGCACAAGTTTTAGGAACCATTTGGATCAATAATGTTACCAATACCATAAGCTAAGCTGCAGCTTTACCCTATATTGCAAGTAAAACGTTTGAGTGACAAAGGCACGCATTCACTTCAATCGCAGTGGGAATTGCAGAGGTGATTTCACGGTTGGCTATGTACGGTGCGAAAGAAGTTCAACATACATGCGTACACATCGCGTCACGTTGGTGTATGAATTTGCCCGACTTCTCGGTGTCTTGACGTTGGCGATTGAAAGGTGACGTGGCTGCCGTACGTGTGTGTGTGGGTTCGCTAGGAATGAAGCGGCCATGGCAGGGCTGCTGGTGTCGCACAGAGCGCGGGTGAACAGCCGCAACCACGCGGGCCGCACGGCGCTACACCTGGCGGCCCGCAAGGGCTACGGGGAGGTGGCGCGCACCCTGTGCGAGCACGCCTGCGATGTCAACACCCAGGTAGCGTCGTTTGCCGGCTCGCTCGCCTGGGTGCTGGCGAGGTTGCTGAGTGCCGGCCCAATGGCCAGCGACAGGCAGCGATTGCAAAGTTGCAATGGATAATGTCGAGTTAATGCATTTCCCGAATTGGGCAAGGTTATGAGAACCTGCACAGAGGAACGATGGGAGGGAATTCCAGCCTAGGCGTGCAAGGACAAACAAATAACATATTCTAACATAAAATAATATATAGTCATACAAAGCAGGGCCATATTTATGCAGTGTCCCAGTCATATAACCCTGCAGAAAAGACAAAATCACAGTTAATTTTAAGGAATTGAATGTGTACAAGCGGTTGCTCTATATTTGATACATTTTGGTTAGTATTTTGCAGGTGGGCATTTGCTTTTGATATTGTACAGCTAAATTACAACTGAACCACCAAACTCAGTGTTATAATTAATTAATTTTAACCCTGTACAGGTAGTCCTCTACTTACGATGGAGATGCATTACGACGACCCCATCATAAGTCAAAAATATCGTAAGTCGAAGATGGCCTAGCCTACCCAGGAGTCTTAAAGAATGGTGATAATTTAGCAAAACAGAGCAATTTACAGTACCGTACTGTATAAACTATATACTGTATGTATTTATTGATACAATACTGTATTGCACAGTAAAATGTAAATTTAAAAAACAAAGGTAAATTCTTAGCCTACCTATATGAACTGCAATTTAATAGAAAGTTTTTCAGGAAACAATCCTATCTGCTATGAAAACTTTTAACATGCATTGAACATATCGTATCGTGGTAACCCTAAAATGAAATCGCTAAAGCTACGTATCATACATGCATTGAACGTATCGTAATGTATCATATTGTACTGTACTCATCAAGATTCGTACCTCGTATGCTGTTGCGTTTGCCTGTCGCACGAATTTTAAAATATTTTACAATTTTGTCGTATCGCTATCGCCATCGTAATATCGAAATATTGTAAGTCGGACCATCGTAACTCGGGGACTATCTGTAGTTGTAGCACATTGTCAACTTGTAAACGTAAGATTTCTATAATTGTGTTTTTTCCTGGCAGGATTCTACCAAAAATTCCCCGATCCACGATGCCATAGCTGAGAACTACGAGGAGGTGATTGAGGCTCTCGCCTCTGTGAAGACACTCGACCTGGAGCGGCAGAACGAAAGTGGATTCACACCTCTGCAACTCGCCGCTTTCAAGGGAAGCAAACTGTAAGCAACACTTTTTGTCTGCCTCAATGTTCACACTTTCCCATTCCAAGACGTCCTGTTCACCGCAAGCGGCTCGGCATTAATTTTATTTAGAGAGGCGTAGCGCCGTTTTTCTTAAAGCCATAGTACTCACTGCAGCGAATTGTAGCGACACTACAGCACTCTTTGATAGCTGGCGCCAAACTATGCCACACACCCCCCGCATGGCCTTTTGCTTACAATTCTGTTGCGATGATGTACGTGTAAAACTGATGACATATGGAATGGGAAATTGATAACATCCCCTATGAAACCAATGGTATGTGGTATTTTGTAATTAATTCATTTGCGGTAATAACGAGGGCGGCCTGCCACATTCCAACTGTGAACCTGTGCAATAAGTGGCCAACACGTTACCGCTGGGCCATGTCACACAGACCAGTATCACTGCTTGTATTGCTAGAGTATTAACATTTACCAGGATCAAAACAAGAGTTGGACAGCATATGTCATGGAAACTATGCAACAAATTAATGATTTAAATCATCTGCATCATGGTTGGCACCCAATCTCTGAAGTGTCGGTAATATTATCATACATTATTGGTTCTTTTGCATTATATGCCAATGTATTTATATGATAATCTTCGTAATATGCAGACTACACTATATACAGTGTAATGTAACATTTCTGGATTGAAGATGTTTTTTTTTTTAATCAGTAGAATTTGTTTAACCATTTCCATGTAGGCCAGTGTCTTATTCATGAGGGAAGTAATCTCAATCATATTTTTCCCAAACTTTACCATAACTATAAAATCCATCTGACTTTTCTCGCCTTTTCCTGCAATTTTAGCTGAGCTACGGGTATCATTATGAGACTGTTAATCCATTTAAATGCCTCACAGAGCACTGCAACCCTTTGTGCTAGAGAATGGTCCACAGAAGCAGATATCACAGAGCTACCTCTGAGCTCCCATCAAGTGACTTCTGCTCCACACAGCAGGGGGCAGCATCCCCTCCCCCCCCACTCTGCCAACAAGAGTAGTGATCGTTGCATGTCAGTACAACCATTAGTTGGAACTGTATTTTAACCAAATTTAATCTGATGGGTTTTTTTTTGTGAAGTAACTTTTGTCTGTACAGTCCTGACCTCTGAACCTACCGGCCACCTCATTAAATCCTTGTGTTTGATATGTCGTCAAATTTAACAGATTTTTTTACAAAAAATTTATTTTAATGTCCAGAAAGTCCATCAAGGTGTAATGCATTATTAATTATTGATAATCACACAGCAGTATGACCAAGTCCTAGATTTGAAGCTTTCGTGACTGCAATGATTCATATTCTTAGGTTTTTTTCGGTAAAGTCACGTCGTGATTTTTATTTTATTTTACTTTTTAATGTTTTTACCTACGTGACTTTACCGAAAAAACCTAAGAATATGAGTATGACCAAGGTTAATTTAACTACACGTACACGGACTTGGTAATATGAATAATCATTTGAGTCTCATCCTATAAACTTGCATGAGTTTGCCATGATGTTGGTGACACGCATCGTATTGAGATGTGATATGAATCGACATTATGGGGAGTAGTAGCGCAGTGGTTAAGGCACTGTGCTATCAACCCGGCGAGCCGGGTTCGATTCTTGTTGACGGTCAGTCCTGGACCTCTCCTAGGTCAACTAAGCCTCAAATTAGTGGTGTGTGGAGATTATCACTGAGGATACAAAGGCGGTCGGGCATGGTACTGGCCACCCACCCCCTCGTGTGCCCGGCCTTCATAGGTGCTTTCGAACAACTCTTGTCCCTACAGTCTGTTTAGGCTATACGGGTGATTTTTATCTTTGTTTGTACCGAGATGTGAGAGAGTTCCAGGTGTTCGCCAACACCTTGGATCATTGTTTCAATATTTGTGTCAGGTCCTGTTTAAGATCACTCAAGCTTTTCAGTAAAAAATAAAAACGTCACATATATAATACATGTTGCCAGAATTACAATCACGGAGTCTTAATTATTATTTCTTAAAAATGGATGATGCATCCATGGACACTCTGCACTTGCACAGTTCTCCTAATGCCAAACCACGGTGGAATATCTCTACACGGCAATGGAAATTGTCCTGCAAATAGCCGTGCATTTGTGCTGCGTCTAGGGCAGTACAGCGGATCCTGGCCAAATCTCCAAAGCTGGTGGATGAGCAGAAGAGTGATGGGTTTGCTCCGCTACACCTGGCAGCCTACAACGGTCGCCTTGACGTCGTCCACATCCTGATCAAGCAGGTGACTCCTCTGCATGGGCTGCGTGCTTTATTTCTGCGACCGCACCTGGGCACCAGTTGTCTGTATTTCATATCAAAATAGTCCAAAAATCAAGAGACATTAGATCAGGAATGTGATTTTTCTTAAGTATGGGAGGTCAATAAATCAGTAGCACAAACGAAAGCAGCAAGAATTAACTTTAGTTATAACATGCACTACCTAATCTAACCCAGATCACCTTGCAAAATTAAGCAGCGATGTATGTATGTTGAATTTATTTTACATTGTACGGAGCCAACCGTGCCAATCGGAGTGCTCTTTCGTGTCTCAATGAGCTTATTTAATTTCCTGGTGAAATAAAGGATGCTGACTGCCTGGTTGACCTGTGCATGGCCGTTGTAAGATTATAAAAAGTAGCAACAACCATCACCACAGGCCTCATTGAATGGTGAGATAAGTTTTGCCCAGCCAGGCTTCTCTTTTACAGAGGGCATCCAACTCCTAACCAAAATATGATCAGCATTAAACAGAGATGTTTTAAATGTAGAATAACCCTATATCAACACAGTAATATGTTTGTACTACCATCGTCTTTCCCCCGGTGAATCTAAAATCTGTAGCAATAGCCACAAGTTAAAGATGCACATCATGACCCTAACGGCATCTCCTGCGCAGGGCCGCTCTGCTGTGAACGCGAGGACGTGCGGGGGCCAGACGGCCCTCATGCTGGCGGCGGGCCGCGGCCACGTGGACGTTGTGTTCCTTCTCGTGCGCGAGGCCTGCAAGCTGGACGTTGAGGACGAGGGGGGCAACACGGCACTGCACCTCGTGCTCAAGGAGGCCGACCTCTTCTCCAAAGATTGCCACCTCCTCCAGGACGATAGCACCATCGTCCAGATCGTGAGTTTCTCCTTTCTCGGGCCACTCTCTGCCAACTTTACTCATTAATTCCTCCACTCAGGGGCGCAACAATTTTGGGGGGGGGGATATGTGACAGCATTATGCGACGCATAGGGGCACACTTGGCCACAAGAGGGCTCCGGATTAACAGATAAATAAGTATGAAAAATATTCAAGAAAATATATTCATAAAAAACGGACCAAGCCCGATTCACGCATCTGGCTATAGTAATATCAATAGAGCAGTATAAAGTTGCGCGATCCACCCCCATACCAAAACATATTAAAATTCCTTCTGGGATTTGAATTCATGAGTCTCATAGCCACAGGAACCCTGAAAACCCACAATTATAGTTACAACCTTAATTAATTATCCTGAAAATACCAAATTAGCAAAGATAGTGGGATGACTTTTCCCATTAACAGCCCCCCGCAATGTTAGTTGGGTTCCCCTCAGTTCTCTCGGCGAGAGTCGCCCCATCCTTCAAGCTCCCCGCTTGCCATCCGATCTGTGCCCGCCCTTGCCAGCTCACACCTCCACCCTCCGCACAGCAGGGCCATGAGGCTTTTATTTGTCAAAGCAATAATAGAGAATGCTTAAAAAATATTTTCAACCAAAATTAGGATTGTCTTTTGTAGATTTAATGAAAGACACGGAATTTCAATGGCAATAATGAAAAGCATTATTTTCCATAAAATCGTGGGAAATCGATGGTGGAATTGAATAATTGAGAGCTTTTTATCAGGCACCATTTTAGTGTCCTTTCCACGTCACCGAATGCACTGGCCACTGCAACACTGCTCCACCCATGTTCACTGTTGAGCTGTTGTCGTCTGCAACTCTTGGCTCATGAGTCCCTTTTGATGCCGATATGTCATGACGAGTGAAGTGAATCACATTTTCCAAGTGATACAATAGCAATTCATGGGTCTATATTCAGAACCATTGATTTATTCATCATTCAAAATGATGTATTCACAAAACATGCATAAAACCGTCCACATAGATTGTCACTATTTACTATTTAAGTAAATAGCTATTAAATTAGCATGTCATTTTATAGCTATCTACTTAAATATAAGTTAGTGGACCAAATGAGGCTCTACTAGATGAGACAGTATATACAAACACAATACTAATAATATATTAAAAGCATAACAAATATGAACAGGTGATTGATTGGCAACACTGCATCGTGACATTTAATAATTTCATGGTGGAGGCATGGGGAATTTTAGCGTCGGTTAATGACTTCCCTGTGCACTCGCGAGTCAGTCGGAGGGTTCACGCTGCAGGTGATGCATTGTTCATTGGGCTAACTGGGTCAACTCGTGTTTGCAGCGTGGCTCAACACGCACGCCATCTTATGCGCGGCATATGACGCGCACTGTGTGTCGTGTGACGTGTTATGCGCAGCATGTGTCGCGTGACGGGCACCATGTGACGCGTGCTGTGTGAAGTGTGCCATATGCCATGTGATGTGCACCGCGTAACTCGTGCTGTGCGCCTCAGCTGCGCGACTCTGGCCTGTTCGGTGCCGGGAGCATCTACGCTGGAGAAGCTCTTGCTTGCTTCCTGGTGAAGGAGGGCGCAAACCTCCGCCACACCAATGCCCGGGGCAAGGCACCCTTTGACTACATCCTGAAACCCGAGCTGAGAAAAACCCTCACAAAGTTGGAAAAAGCCTACAAGTATGTCCTCCACTCGAATCACAACTCACGGTGGCGCGTGTTGCCTGGGTCTCACGTGAGAAATCTGATTCTTTAAGCAAAACTGGTTCTTTCGGTAAAGTCACGTAGGTAGAAATAAAATAAAATAAAACAAATCACGACGTTTCAATCGCAACACAAGCAATCCTCGTCAGGTGGAACACCCACAGCAAGAAAATGCTGAGGTAGGATTCCTGCAGTCACGAAAGCTTCAAATCAAGATCAAAACTGGTTTTGAAGAATTACTAAAAAAAATGTCACAGAGTCCTGTTTGATAAAGTGTTTTAAATGATGATTTGAAAGGAAGTTTCCGCAATATCATTAGTAAAATTAGCCATTGAGGCAGTGGAACAAACCCTCTTTGGACAACAAGGGAAACAGATTCTATCCAATTTATGCACCACTCGTAGTGTAGAAGTATACACAGACCAGACGATCAAAGTGGAGTCAATTCGGCCTTAATTGCTCCAATTCTGCTCTTGGAGTGCATCGGTAAGGAAAGGACAACCTGGAAAGAATAAAAGTAGCAACAATAGAGCATAAAACCCAGGACGTAAATTATCCAATGATATCTGGTAATACATTCTCTGTGTTCTCATGGCTCCATAGCATCTGAAAAAAATAAACCGATTCACCAGAGGGTAAAATACTACAGTCCTGTAATGACACCCCGACCGAGAATAGACAAAAAGGGAGTGGAAATTGTGAGGGAGGGGGTGAGCGGTTGGGTGAGTGCAGGAAAAGAGTAAACAGAATATTACGAATATCTCAATGCATCAAAGTATAAACATCTTTGTCAATAAAAGTCATAGAAACATATATCTTAAATGTCAAACAAATTATTCGAATATTTTCAATGAGTTAAATTCCTCAACGTTTGTATTTGTGGTGTTTTTCTTAGTGATTGAATTCAGTACACAAAAACGTACTTTACATTATGCGTACGATGAGTGTGCAAGGACATCTCTTGCGTTTGCAATGATCAGATTGTTGGCAGTTGTAACGCAACATACACTACGTATCTTCAGTACAGAGTAATCATACACGTGTCACATTCAAGGGGCATGTTACTGTAAGGATGTGACGATTACCATATACTCGAGATTATAAGGCGCTCTGAAAAAGTGAGACGCACGAAAAACTTTGGGCCCGGTATTCATAAAGTTATCCAAGTATTATCATGCAAATGCAGACCTTCCGAATTATTTAATTCTAAGTTGCACCTTCAACATTTGCTTGAAATACAGGGGAAAAGTGCACGTTATAATCTCGACAAAACGGTAAGACATCTGTTGTGGAACTTTTTTTTTCTGTTTTTGTTTCTCCTTAGTGGGGACGAAGAGGCGGAAGAAGAAATTCCCAAAGCCAAAAGCCAACCTGTAAGAGGTATTGTTGGGAAGCATCTCCATTGATGTCCCTGAGCCAGTGGTAGAAACTCCACATTCTCATGTCAGGAGCGATACTCTGTATAGGCAATCACTGTTCCTTTGTTACAGAGTGGAACTCGTTTTCCTGACCACACAGGAAGGATAAGCTGAGTAGATGCCCAATTAAGATTCGACTTTGTAAACTTCCAATTTGCTCGTGAAGCACTCGGGCCACATCATCACAAGACGGTTGCTGCCATACAGCCCGTGCACTATGAGTGCCGTTGAGCTGGTGGGAGGATGAAGCCTGCTGAATATCGTGTTCTTATAGCCGCCTGACCGGTAATGGGCAAAGCAGTGAGTGATAGTGACACTCGCACTCACAAGTGAACCCACGGGCCTCTGTTGGGCCTTCTTTTTTTCGTATTGCTGATGAAGATGCAGAGCAACAACTACAATTTCACATTCAGGTGGTCAAGCCAGATAACCGCGTAAGGAGCAGTAGAGTGTATCGTTGCAATGTCTCCTTGGTATTTTTGGATCAGGCATTGCGTCATTATACATTGTACGGTCTGTTCTGGATGACCACAGTTGCACACTACTGGAGAGTTTTGCATTTGTGCATCAGGTATCTGCATCTGCCATGGTTTGTACGGATGCAATTTAGGGTGAAGCACGAGCTTCGTGGAAGATAAACCCAGGGATTTTTTGCGTTGGGCCTCATTACATAGAAATCCTTTGTTCATGGAAAACTACAGGAACCTTGCAATAGTCCATAATTAAAAGTGTCAGAACAGCGGCTGAAGTACAGTGAGGGAAAAAAGTATTTGATCCCCTGCTGATTTTGTACGTTTGCCCACTGGCACAGAAATGATCAGTCTATAATTTTAATGGTAGGTTTATTTGAACAGTGAGAGACAGAATAACAACAACAAAATCCAGAAAAACGCATGTCAAAAATGTTATGAATTGATTTGCATTTTAATGAGGGAAATAAGTATTTGAACCCTCTGCAAAACATGACTTAGTACTTGGTGGCAAAACCCTTGTTGGCAATCACAGAGGTCAGACGTTTCTTGTAGTTGGCCACCAGGTTTGCACACATCTCAGGAGGGATTTTGTCCCACTCCTCTTTGCAGATCTTCTCCAAGTCATTAAGGTTTCGAGGCTGACGTTTGGCAACTCGAACCTTCAGCTCCCTCCACAGATTTTCTATGGGATTAAGGTCTGGAGACTGGCTAGGCCACTCCAGGACCTTAATGTGCTTCTTCTTGAGCCACTCCTTTGTTGCCTTGGCCGTGTGTTTTGGGTCATTGTCATGCTAGAATACTCATCCACGACCCATTTTCAATGCCCTGGCTGAGGGAAGGAGGTTCTCACCCAAGATTTGGCGGTACATGGTCCCCGTCCATCATCCCTTTGATGCGGTGAAGTTGTCCTGTCCCCTTAGCAAAAAAACATCCCAAAGCATAATTGATTCCACCTTCTTGTTTGACGGTGGGGATGGTGTTCTTGGGGTCATAGGCAGCATTCCTCCTCCTCCAAACACGGCGAGTTGAGTTGATGCCAAAGAGCTCCATTTTGGTCTCATCTGACCACAACACTTTCACCCAGTTGTCCTCTGAATCATTCAGATGTTCATTGGCAAACTTCAGACGGGCATGTATATGTGCTTTCTTGAGCAGGGGGACCTTGCCGGCGCTGCAGGATTTCAGTCCTTCACGGCGTAGTGTGTTACCAACTGTTTTTTTGGTGACTATGGTCCCAGCTGCCTTGAGATCATTGACAAGATCCTCCTGTGTAGTTCTGGGCTGATTCCTCACCGTTCTCATGATCATTGCAACTCCACGAGGTGAGATCTTGCATGGAGCCCCAGGCCGAGGGAGATTGACAGTTCTTTTGTGTTTCTTCCATTTGCGAATAATCGCACCAACTGTTGTCACCTTCTCACCAAGCTGCTTGGCGATGGTCTTGTAGCTTATTCCAGCCTTGTGTAGGTCTACAATCTTGTCCCTGACATCCTTGGAGAGCTCTTTGGTCTTGGCCATGGTGGAGAGTTTGGAATCTGATTGATTGATTGCTTCTGTGAATAGGTGTCTTTTATACAGGTGAAGTATTGGAAATGACGGCAGGAACTTCTTGACGGGTAACACACTTTTATGAAATCTTGACGTGTCACAATACAACGTGTGGTCTCTATTCTTTGTACTATACACTCCACTTAACTCGTGTAGACTCTATACCTCTGGCTACACACAATACACTTGACTCGTGTAGACCCTATGCCTCTGGCTACACACAATACACTTGACTCGTGTAGACCCTATGCCTCTGGCTACACACAATACACTTGACTCGTGTAGACCCTATGCCTCTGGCTACACACAATGCATTCGGCTCGTGTAGACCCTATGCCTATGGCTACACACAATACACTCGCCTCTGGGTTACACAGAGTCCCGGTCCCGTTAGGACAGCGGGACTAGGTACCGCAGGGCCCTATCTCTTCGATCCCCGTCTTCATTCTTCGCTGGTTACATACTACCCTTACGCCTGTGTGCATCCCCTTTTATAGCCCCTGCTCACGGGAGACGGAGCTGATGCGGACGTCTACGTGAGCATCGCTCCTTAGTTAACCAATCACGACGCACTCTCTCTACGATCCGTTTTCCCCCAGCGCGTGTTAACACTACTCCACCAATCACACCGCGCTGTCACCTGATCACTCCCTCTCAGCGCGTCACCGGCACACAGCCAATCAGCACCCCGTAACCCACGACCCCGCGCTGACCCCTGATCCTCCACCGTCAGCGCGCGTCACCACATACACAGCCAATCATTACGCGCTGGCATACGATCCCTAATCCCAGCGCGTATCACCACTACACAGGTAACAAGCTGAGATTAGGAGCACTCCCTTTAAGAGTGTGCTCCTAATCTCAGCTCGTTACCTATTTAAAAGACACCTGGGAGCCAGAAATCTTTTTGATTGAGAGGGGGTCAAATGCTTATTTCCCTCATTAAAATGCAAATCAATTTATAACATTTTTGACATGCGTTTTTCTGGATTTTTTTGTGGTATTCTGTATCTCACTGTTCAAATAAACCTACCATTAAAATTATAGACTGATCATTTCTTTGTCAGTGGGCAAACGTACAAAATCAACAGGGGATCAAATACTTTTTTCCCTCACTGTAGCTTTGCATTTTTCACGTGAAAACTAGCAATGGTTTTTTTTGAGTGAGCAGAGACTTGAAAACTCAATCCAGCACTTTCTGTAAATGATGGGAACATGCGCCACAACAAGAAAATGTATCGTACAAGCTGGAAAGAAACAGATTTAGCAAACAGAGCGGTGGACTCAGAATTGCTGCGTGTGATTGTGTCGTGGCTTGTGTGTTGGCATGGCCCAGCATGTAGTGGGTTATTGGGGCAGTATTATATGATCCGAGTTAGCAGTGCATGAATTCGACAGCACAATGACACCACCTCAATGTTCCAACAGATGTCAAGGCCAAGGAGGACAGTGACAGCACAGATGAAGATGATCACTCAACCATCAGAAAAAACAGGAGATATTCTTCTTCTTCTTCATCATCATCTTCATCAGAAGAGGACTTGAACTCCGAGCGGTGTGAAAAGTGCACCTACATTCATCGATGCTTCCATCTCTGAAGTTGGACTCCTGTAAACAAAGTCAGCCAGCCCTTACCATTGACGTACTAAATATGGCCTGCATTGATCGTGAAGGCCATGTTCTCTGCATTGTGCGTGTATGTGTTGTGGGACAGGCTGGGTGCAGGCAAAGGCAAGTCGCAGGGTCTCTCGACATCAGACTTGCTCCCCACTCACTGGGACCACATGTCGGATTACTTCAAGGTAAAGCTTTTTTAAATGAGGTTACCAATACCAATCCACAGTACTGAGCTGGCAATGTTCAAATCCTGGGGTGTAATCCACATGGCCATGTGTGATTAACCGGGTTCTCAAGTGTACTGAGCCGATGGTCATAGCCCAGTGCCCATGTAAAGAACACACCAGTCAGTTTTGCAGGAGTAAGGAAACAGCACCATGAATCCGGCAACCGGAGGCTACGGCTAACATCAGTGGCGAGTGACATCTGAATCAGTCCTGGGTCCCTCACTTCACCAACCCACACTCTCCAATGTGGTTAAGTATGGTAAACAAAAAAAACCTCCTATGACAGACACAGCTGTCAATTACTTTAATTTCTATCCAACTATACCATTACAACCATTCTTAAAAATTATCAAATCATATTCATGATTTTTAAGACCTTTTTTTCCGTCGTCTTAATATGTGTAGTGAGTTTCGATTTAAAGCTTTCGTGACTGCAGGGATTCATATTGTTGGTTCACAGAAGGGAAATAATAAAATAATAATTATTAAAAAATTATCGCGATGTTTCGATTGCAACACAAGCATTCATCAGGTGTGAAAACCACAGCAAGAACATTTTCTTGCTTTGGTTTTCACCCGAAGAATTTTCCCAGCAAAATTTTCTTTCTGTGGTTTTCACACCTGATGACGATTGCTTGTGTTGCAAACGAAACGTCGTGATAATTTAATTGTTTAATTTTTATTATTATATAATTTCCCTTCTACGTAACTTTACCGAAAGATTAAGAATATGTGTAGTGAGTCCAACGGAGTCGCAGACGTTGTCTTGGGAGCAACACTAGTTATTACAACTCAACACAACATAACGTAACCTACACTTGGGTGTTGAACGCCCATCTAACCACACTACGGCAGAACTAGACACGGTTCCGCTATCCCGGTCCGGACCACAAGCTGTGTCCCAGACTGCGTGGCTAGAGGCTTCTTCAACCCGACGTGGATCTTCTTCACCAACAACCTGAAGAACCCCGAGCCCCTTACGGGGCCCCGTTATATCGGCCCGGGCTGGTGCTGGCTCCGCCCCTCGCCCCGCCCACCTTCTAGATCTCTCGAGCCCTTTCCCGAAGGCTCCCGAGAGCTCCTCTACCACGTGACCGCCCAGCGGCCCCCGTCCACCGGTGGCCCCCCTCCAATATCATCCGGTCACGTGTCGGCAGGTCGAACCAGCGTGAAGTTATCTTCCAGAGCCAATCTTTTCCTATAGAATGAATGGAATATGATTCTGGAACAAAAATATCTATACATATAGATTTTTATTTAAAGTAATGCTGAATGCAACTACCCAGCAGTACATTTTAAAACAATATTTTGTATATTTGGGTAATTACCAAATGTTATTCTTGAGTGCAAAACTGTCAGTGTACGCTTGTGATGTAACACGTGTCCAACGTTGTCACAGATTGTGGAACTACACAACGGGTCCAGTGAATTCAGAAAAGTGAGCCGCATGTTCCTGAAGACGATGGAAATAAAGAACGCTGTGATTAAGCGCATCAAGCGAGTGCAGAATGAAGAGCTGTGGCTGTCCTTCAGCAGGTACAGAGCCAGTGTGAGCCTTTTCTCTTTTAGAAACTAACAACTAAGATGTAACATTATTGACTAGTTTGTTAGAGAAACATAACAAGTAAGCGCACACATTATTTTAGTGTTTTGGTTATTGTCTTCCCCCCGCACCTCTTATTAGCATAATTGGCTACATATGGTGCAGAAGAAGTTCAAAATACGTACATACATATTTTCTGTTCACTCTTTTAAGGTACGCTACATTGTATGCCAATAATAATAATTTAATGAGACAATTTCCACTCATGGCTCGGGCCACAAATAGAGATGAGAGCTCATTTGAGCATGAATGCTTGACTTTTATCTTCTTATATATAAATGTAATTTTTTGTCTCTATCTGTTTGTTCACGCGCTTAAGAAGGATTTGGCTCTCAAACGGTGGGGTTTATGTTAAGACCCGCGGTTGGCAAGCACTATTCCTTGTTCACGTCCGTCACCTTTACATTAGTTAAATGAGCGATTTAGTGATAGTTATTATTTAATTATTTATTGCTCACGCTCGGCCATACCAACTCACGCATTTTTGGTGGGAGGGACGGACCTATGCCAAGTCACACGCGTTCGATGGGGGTGAGGGGGAATTTTTCTTTCGCGTTAAAAATGCTACAAAAAAACACAACGCTGAGGTACATTCTTCACTGTGTGATGTCCTCCCCCCCCCCCCCACCCCGATGCGTACAGTTACTACTATAGAGTCCGTATATATTAATATAGCGCTTAGATAGTATTATTCCTGTGCGGCCGGGGGGATTGTGGGGGGGGGGGGGGGGTAGCGGCCTAGCCCCCAGCCTACCACGTGGGCAATCTAGGCAAGGCCGGGGGCTCTGCACGGGACTAGGCCTCACCACGCCACTCTGCCAGGTTCGTGGTTTGTGCTATACAGTCGATATATACTGCTATAGAGTCAGCATGTACTACTGTTGTGATAGGTTCCACCACAGTCAGTATGCTCTGCTGTAATCATAGCAGGTACCACCACAGTCAGTATGCACTGATGTAATCATACCAGGTTCCACCATATTCAGTGTGCACTGCTGTAATCGTAGCAGGTACCACCACAGTATGCACTCCTGTTATCATAGCAGGTACCATCACTGTCAGTATGCACTGCTGTAGTGAAAGCACGTACCACCACAGTCGACATGCACTGCTGTGGTGATAGCAGGTACCACCACAGTCAGTATGCACTGCTGTTATGATAGCAAGTGCCACCACAGTGAGTATGCACTGCTATAGTGAAAGCAGGTACCACCAAAGTAGGTATGCACTGCTGTAGTGAAAGCACACACCACCACAGTCAGTATGCACTGCTGTGGTGATACCAGGTACCACCACAGTGGGTCCATGTGTGTGTATAAGTCCATGTGTGTCTTAGTCGATATGTGTGTCTTTGTAAGTCCATATGTGTAGGTCAATTTGTGTGTGAGTCTATGTATGTGTGTGTGTGAGCCGATGTGTGTGTCTGTCTTTTTCACCCGGGCAACGCCGGGTACTTACCGCTAGTGTTTTATAAACGTAACATTTATTTTTTATAATGTAATTGCCTCAATTACATCAACCCTCCATGGAATGTCACACAAGTTATCTCTACCCATTCAGGTTAAACGTCCTAAAGCAGAGTAACAATACGTACAAAAGGTGATTTATATGTCAGCAGAAGGTGCCATTGTAACCGTTAGATCGCTCCTGCCATAATCTCTTGAATGTCTCGTGACATCACCATGTGATAGCCTCCCGCCTCGCACCCCACACATACTTTGTATGTACCCTTGATCAAGTCCGATCACTCAAGAAGCCACCTCCAAAAGTTATCTTGTACGTGGGGCCCGACTGGGCTGAACGTTATTTAGGGTAACTCACGTTACAGGAATTTGTTAACTTGTTCTGCCTTGGAGGCAGAACAAGTTATGGCCATATGGCAACATTGAACACTTGACACACAACGCGACCCAGACTCAGTGTAGATTCATGGGAAAGCCCTTTACCCGCACTCAGACCCCTACTCCAGCCTCCTAAAGAGGGACCACAGGAAGATAACATGTAAACTCCAAATATACAACAGCAGGTGTCAGGGTCAGAATCGAACCCATGACCTCCTGTATACCAGGCGAGGTAGTTAACATCTCGCCAGCAGCAGTAGGACAATGGGACAACCGTTCACCAGTTGTAGCCTTTTTGAGGATCATCCCTGTACGGCACAGCCTTCAATGCCTACTGCTGCCTTGCACCTCGCGGGGCTTTATGTGGGCAACCGCTACCTCAGAACAGTTTGGCTGGCACTGTGTAAGAGGGATAATGACGGCATCCTAAAACTTTGTGTAAATGATGAGAAACTCACAAATAATTGAAATACGGTACATGCAGAGGGTTATTTATAGCAATTGTGACCATGGGATTGGTCCTCCCATCGTGCCTTGTATGTTCTGTCACATCGTCATGCCGCATGTATGATGCAGAAATGTATATTGTTTTATTTGAATGACCCGTTGGTATGTTTATGTCTTCTCTTTGCTTAGAATATATGTCTTTCTCTGACTTGCGCCTTGTGTGGGTTGGGGAAGTGAAGATTATAGAATCTGGAGTAGCTCATTCCTGGAGTGGTGAGCTCAACATAGTGAATATGTACTCTTAGGTTTTTTCGGTAAAGTCACGTAGGTAAAAAATAAATAGTAAATAATAAAAGAAATAATAATATAAATAAAATAATAAATCACGACTTGATACAGTAAATTTAGCTGTGACGGTCCCACGTGATGACGGAGACTTGTGTTGCCTCCGAAACGTCGTGATTTATTATTTTATTTCTATTATTATTTATTTCATTATTTTTATTTTTTACCTACGTGACTTTACCGAAAAACCTAAGAGTATGAATCCTTGCAGTCACGAAAGCTTCAAATTTAGAAATAGTGAATATGTTACGCCCAATTCCTCAAACCTCATTCTGTCATCTCTCCGACATGAGTAAAATGAGTACAACAAAGTGAGAACCAGTTCATGAGAAGGAACTCATAAGTTATTGTATCGATATGCAACAGAAATCCGATCATCTGAGATCCAATGTATTTTATGATGTATTGGCAGCTCGCAAATGCTCCTGTAATCTGCTGTGCACTGCAGCAGATTGAAAACTCTTAGCAGAGACACAAACCACGCTCCATAGTAGTGGACAGGGTTAACGTGAAGCTGCAGAGCGGAGCCACAGGAAGCTAAGATTTAAATTATTTATGAAATGTATATTGTTCTGCATCATTACAGCGTGATTTGTTAAGCAGAAATTTTAGACTCGGATATTAAGTTAAAACAATGCAGAATCCTTTTATATAGACCAATATGGCAGATGTTCTCCATTTGGATCTTAGAAATAAGTATAACCTAATAAGCTGCAAATTTCTTGCAGATTAATTTAACCGATAATCTTGTGCCGCACGATTCCATTAATCCATTTATTTTTTTGTGGATTAATGGAATTGTGTTGGTACTTCCCCATAGCCCTTGGCACACTGCGTCGATGTGAGATGTCTGCCGATTATTTTGTCTAAACCTCGCGGTGAGCACTGCTCTTCACTCAAAAGCACATGACGAAACATTTTGACTTTTGAAACCTTTTTTTTATTAACTGCTGCAAATGCTGGACCAGAGGATGTAACTTTGCAGAATGTGAGTCATGGACTTTAGAATGACTCGGTCTCACAGTTTAGCATGGCATGTAGAGGGATAGTGTGTAATAGTTTCCACTGGATGGGCCCCACATGCAAATTTCTAAATGAGTGGACGTGATCCTTAAACTTCCCGTTTGAGCATCACTTTGAAGGTGACCCAATAAACGACGTTAAAGATGAGGAATGAAATTGGGAAAAACAGTCGTGAGATATTGTCGATGGTTTGAGCATAGGCAACAAACTTTTTCCGCATCTTTTCTTCGGTTTCCTGCAATGATAATGGAGACTTGCTGCAGAAAAAATGCAAAGCTACATTGGCAACACACACTGGCTTTGCAGAAATAAATACACGAATATTTTGCTTTATTAATGTCACCCCTTAAACCATATCTAACATATTACATACAATAATAACAGGCTTTTTACTGTCACTAACAGGAAGAAGACCATTCAGTGTAAAAATTGTGATGGTAAGATACATTTGTTATATATTTTAGTTGAAGGGATTGGTGCCGCAGTGGTTAGTGCCCTGCACTGTGAACCTAGCGAACTCAGTCCTAGTCTAGTCAGAGCGAACATCAGCAGCGAGTGATATCTGAACCTTTCCTGGACCACCACCTTCACCAACACGCACTGGCCAGCGTTGTCAGGTATGGTCAAACAACCCCCAACATCAACATGGCATGGGGTGGCCTTCATCCAGCAGTGCATTGACTGAGGGCAAAAAGTCTTTATAATTTTCAGCTCCAAGAAATTTCTAGAACCTCAAAAAGGGCCAAGAAATTTCACTTTTGAAAAAGTTGAGATGCTTAAAAATACAATGTTGTTGATACAACATGTTACACATTAGTTATACATATTATGGAAGAGATTTTAACACTTTGTGATCATTTGCTATATTTTGTAATATTCAAACCTTTTATTTGTTTCACTGTTAGAAATGTGTCTAAAAATCACCGCTTGCCCCAATAGTCTGTATGTGTGTTTGTGTTTATCCAGTTGCAAGGTCATTTTGTCTCACCCAGGTTAGAACTCCAGAGACCATGAGGATAGTCTCATTTTCAAGAGTGGCCTGGAGCATGTTTAATGAGGGTATTTTTTACTTGACAAATTTGGACCATGACGTCAGCACACAATCACCGTCACGTCTTGGCGAATGGCGGTGATTGCTGTGGTGTCAGTGTGTGCCAGTGTACGTGTCAGTGTGTGTCAGCGTGTGTATGCATGTTAGCACATGTATGAATGTCAGCACATACGCATGGCACAAGCACCATGGTGATGTCACCATCACTTCGCTGTGAATGACGGCTGTTGTTGTTGGTGTGTCAACACGTGTGTGCGCGTGTTGACGGTATTACAATTAATGAATTTCAGAATGCTGTCGTGAATATAATTGTCTTATTTCGATCCAAGGCAGCGTTACTTCAGCAGCAACACTCCTCACGTGAAACAGGTTCCCTGTTATTGGTTAAGTTAAAATTTTGTTCACAGGAACTAATCACACTGTTTAAAGAATGTTTGACATTTTTTTACGCACAAGCTGTGTAAAAAAAACAGATTTTACATAGGACCTAAAAATTTACTTGAAAAAAATTACACATGCACCTTTGTGTTTTTAACACTATATGAGATTTTGTCAACCGCCTATGTGTCTCTTTTACACTGTATACGTTCACTGCATGCCACCTGGAGGCTGGTGGGCCATATGGCTCTGTGATGCGATACAAAGGGTCCAGAGAATTCAGGAAAGTGAGTCGCATGTTTCTGAAGACGATGGAAATATAGAATGCTGTGACTAAGCGGCATCAAGCGAGTGCAGAGTGAAGAGTGAAGAGCTATGGCTGTCCTTCGGCAGGTACAGAGCCGATGGTTTACGGCATTTGAACTTTTTTTATCTTAGTTGCCAATGCAATCAAACTTTAATTAGCATTCTTGCTACATTTAGATGCTCATTTAAAATCTATATTGCCAAGTATTATTTTACTTAAATAGGATTGTACCCAAATTCCTTGTGTTAAATCATACTGTGGATAGAAAGGCGGGGTGGGTTTTGTCGAATACTGTAACTGCACACTGGCTAGAGTATGTGAAGAAAAGCAGAGCATGTGTAGCTGAGTGTGAGAACTCACCTGGTCGATGGGCTTCTGGCTCCTTCTGCCCTTCTTCATGAAACCCTGGCTCTGCCTGGATGTTACATTCACTGCGGCGTACTCCAGCAGCGCGGCGAACACGAAGAGCAGGCACGTTGCCATCCAAATGTCCACCGCTTTGATGTAGGAGACCTGCAGCAGCAGCAGTGGTACAAAACTCAGAATGAGTGCACATGTTAAAATGCTAAACCGGGTCTTATCGTTAAGAGATAAAACATGGAGACACCTTTCCATTACGCTATAAAATTGTACCGGTTGTGCATGTATGTTGAACTTCTTTCACACTGTACGTAGCCAACCGTGATAATCCGAGGTGCGGGGGAAGGACAACAAACTAAACACAAAAAGCAGTTCTAAAGAAATGAGTGTTCAAACTAGATTATTTAAAAGTGCATCGCTCCAGTGGCTTCTTAATATCAGAATAGCATTCCAGACGGTCACAAAAGCGCATCTGAAAGCTGCGCGATGCGGTGATGTAGGAGACAAGCAGCAGTGGCACAAAATCATAATAAGTGCTCATGTTAAAATGCTAAACAGGGGTCTTATCGTTAAGAGATAAAACATGGATACACCATTACTCTATAGAATTGTCCTGATGATGTATGTATGTCCGTTGAACTTCTTTCGTACCATATGTAGCCAACTATGCGAATCGGAAGTGCGGGGAAAGGACAACAATCTGAACACAGATCAGTCATTAAGAAATTTGTTTTCAATCTAAATTATTTAAAAGTGCATCGCTCTAGTTGGCTTCCTAATATCGGAAGGAAGAGCGTTCCAAACGGCCGCAGAAGCACATTTGAAAGCTGCGCGATGTGACCATGCTTGTTTGATGGCCTGCCGAATGCCACTGGAGTTCACGTAATGGTCAGATTTATATCCGTGGGACCGTCGCTGTTGTGGGGTGTGGTGAGGTTTGTGCCACAGTGAGGATTTTTCCGGTGACCTTAGGCAGTGATGCTCTTGCTCCCGTGCTCTGTGTGGTCAAGGTGAGGACCGTGGTGATCCCCAGCGCCACACGGGCTGGGGCTGCCTCCATGTTTATCCAGAATGAGACCCAGGAGAGGATGACGATGAGAATGCTGGGTACGTAGAGTTGGATCAGGTAGAAGCCCATCTCACGGTGCAGAGTAAACTTTGCGAAAATGCATGAAAATGAACCTGTGGAAAAAATAGAAGTGCCACTGTTATGCTAACCCTATGTTAGACTTAAAAGGAAATGAAATGATGTCCCTCTTCTGGTAACATATCCTTTTACTGTAGCTAAAAGCCTATCAAGCCTGAAAGGGCCTGTTTTAAGGGAAAACTCGGATCAAGCGAGCATGGCATACAAAGCAACACTTGAAAAGCATTTTTTTTAATGCAGAGACATGCATGGAGAAGCATTGTGTAGAAATGGTTACAACGTCTTATAATTGGGAATTAAATTGAACTTAGTAACGTAATTACTCGATGAACACGTACAGAATCACGTGTCTCATAAGGCTTTATATTTAGAAACACTTTAGTTCCTAAGGATCAAGGAATTATCAGTCACTCGACAGTTTTCCCTCTGCCTCCCCAAACCAGAATGAGAGGTGGTGGTGGGGGGTGGTGGTGGGTGTCCAAGCGTTCCACTCTGGTTGGTGACCGTACCGGTGCTGTAAGTCGTTGTGCAGGAGCCAGTGCTTATTTTGTTGCTGAGCACAAATTGTGGAAGCGTGAGTCCTTGAAAAAGAGACACGGGCGTAGGTCCGTTCCAGTGGAAGACGATGTCCGCTGTAGTGTAGCCGACTGCGGCGTCGTGAAAATTGAGAAGTTCACAAACGGCACGCAAAGTTATATTGGTGACCAAAATTTACCACACGAACTATATTCAGCACGTATGTGTGTTGAGAAATACAGCACAGCGCCCTCATACGTTTCATCCTTTTATCCGTGAAACCTGTTTGTTCGTAGGAAATGTGGGGTTTGCATCTCTTGTTGAAGATTTGGCGGATAATTTGTATGGGAGATGATAAAACTCGACTGCGAACGCTCTTACGCTGCAGTCGCGCACTCCCCCATGTCGGGCCTGTGGTGACATGTTAACTACCTCACCTGGAAAACAGGAGGTTGTGGGTTCGATCCCGACCCTGACGCCTGCTGTATATTTGGAGTTTGCATGTTCTCCCCGTGGTCGTGTGGATTTTTCTCCACGCCTTCTGGTTTTTCCCTCCACATTTAAAATCAACACGCAAAATTCGAGTATTTGGCTGCGATACATTTTCACTTAATAAGCCACTTCGTTGAGCCATAATTTGTGATCAGGTCGTTTCTAAAAAAGAACTGTGTCGCTCAGTGGGCCTTACCTGGTTAATTTATATCTTGCAGTGGCTACAATGACACTGCACGGGTGCCTGAACTGTTGCCTCTCTGTCTTGGCACAATACATTGGCTCATCATCTTCTTCCCTCACCAGATAATGCGTGGAGGAGCAGCTAGGATTCCTGTGTGTCTTGTCACGTATTTTGTCACTTGTGACTTGGATGCATGAACGTAGCCCAGAGCTCCATTGAGGACTGCAAATAATCCCAAAAAGCTATCAATGATGGGATTTGATTTTCATTTGTCTTTTCTGGAATGTAATTGGTAGTATAGATGTGGTCAATGGTATCAGCATGTTTTATAAAACAAGCTTCTTCTCATTGTTGGCCGGCTTTTGAAGAATCTTTGGTTATCTTAGTCAATAGATTGTTTATTTGAAGCAGACAGTGCATTCCGCACCTCCAATTAGTGCTGTCCGCACCTCCGATTAGCGCTGTTGGCTACTTACAGTGCGAAAGAAGATAAACATACATACCTACGTATGTTATGGTTCTTTATTGCTCTCTAAGAAGTCTGCTGTTTGCGATTTATCATTTACGAACTTCCTTTTTGCTGCTTCCCTCCTCTGAAAGTAGGATGGGGTACTTTTGCAAAATTAAACTTTAAAAAAGCAGCATACCAATGTACCTAAAGAAGACATTTTTCAATCAGTGCATATAAGCTGCCACGACGTATGTATCAGAAACATGGACTTTGACAAAGAACATGGAATCAAATCTGAAAAATATTCAAATAAGCATGGAGAGATACATGCTGAGAGACATAAATAGTAAGGTGGATCACAGAACAAATTCGGGGTCCACTTTCTGCCCCCCCCCCCCCACTTCTTTCTCCCCCCCTACTCCCGAGGCCTATATAACTTCGTGCCATGGCAGATCTCTCGCCTACTTCAGCATTTTTTTTTCTTGCTGTGGTTGTCCCACCTGATGACGATTGCTTGTGTTGTGATCGAAACATCGTGATCTATTATTTTTTTCCCTACGTGACTTTACCGAAGAGTATGGATTCCTGCAGTCACGAAAGCTTCAAATCAAGATCTTATAGACCATTAATGAAAATAATTTGGCTTGAACAGGGCACGTCGCAAGAAAGATTGATGGCCGATGGATGAGCCTGGTGACAGAATGGCAGACAAAGGAGGAAACAGACCCCAAAGGATGACCACTGCAGAGATAGAGCATCGAGATCAGCTCCTGCATTACAGGACCCGTGAGGCATGGGGATGACGTGGGGGAAGCCTTTATCCAGCAGCGGACAGAACATGGCTGATAGTGATGATTCCAAAGAAAATTTTCATATAACATGTGATGTAAAGTTAATTTAGATATTTTACATGGAATGTTACGTACAGCTTTCCAGGTACATGGAGCACATCTGTGTGTCCATGGGGAAGTTATGCAGGTCCATTGGACAGGAGAGGGTCAGCGTGAGCCTGTATTGAGACAGCACACATCAAGTAAGGAGGACATGTCTACAGCGGTGAGTGTGCAATGATTCCCTAGTAATTATGGGGTTTTTCGCAATTTTGCAGACACCTATTTTGACCTCAACAGTGAATGCTATGCACCCTTGGAATTATATCGAGAAAAAAGCAGGAACAGAAGGGGCACCATGGTGGCGAGATGTTAACTACCTCGCCTGGTATACAGGAGTTTGTGGAATTGATACTGACCTTGATGACTGCTGTATATTTGGAGTTGCATGTCTCCCTCCTCGTGGTCACGTGGATATTTATCTGGATATTTGGCTGCTATAAATTTCCACGTGATAAACCACTGGCTATCATTTGTGGCCAGGTCGCTTCTGTAAAATAACTATATAGGGCTAGAAGGGACAATAGACATTGGTTAAAAAATGATTACGGATTGGCAGCCATAGGAAAGGATCACCTCCAAGAGATCACCTACCTAGGAGAAGGGGCGATGGGATCAGTTCATGTGCAGGTGCTGCCACCTCCCACAATATTGCAGACCTCATGGAATCGCAAGATTGTGAGAGGTGGTGGCAGCTTGGGTGGCCTTCATCCACCAGTGGTTTGATCACGGCTAATGATGACGATGAGTGATTGCTGTGTTACTTATACAGCTCTTTACTCCGGTGTTCATTACAAAGACCACATTATGGCAATGTGCCTGTGTCCTTTTGCCGTGCCACTTCACCATCATAATTGTCATACTCTGTTGTTCCCTCGTTCTACCACTGCATACGATTCCAGCTAGCCCCAGATAGAGGTGTCGGTGGGAATGTTGTGCTTGCAGACCTCATGGCATAGTCAACGACGCCATTGTTGGCGATCCTCAGCATCTTGTTGTCAGTCGTGATTTCGTGAAAGTGCGCACTCTTCTCGTTGTCAAAGAAGAGGTCAGGCTTCCAGATGTGCTTGATGTTGGACTGGTCGAGATGCAGTAAGGGTACAGGGTAGTGGCTGTAAGCCAGCCGTGGGTCAGTCCACCTCTGTCGCAGGTAGACTGTCACGCGATAGTCCTGGTGGAGACATTTCATGGTCAGCGTTAATCATTGCTGACCATCCTCAACCTTATCATGACTGTCACCACGAATGTAATAAATGCTCGTTTAGTGTTCTCAACAATCATGGCTCACAGCGTGAATATCTTGGGTTCAATTCTCAACTCGGGTGCCTTTTTTGTGCACAGATTGTGCGTTCTCCTCCCCCTATTTTGCAATGGGTTTTCTCCAGGTCTCCGGTTTCCTCCTCCCATTGCTAATAATGTAACTCTGCAATGTAATCTGTGTTGGCCAAATATTTCAGTTTTGGGACCATTCAATAAACCTCCTCAGGGGTATCATCGCTACAGTATTCTCTTTGAATGTACTTTAGAACAACGTGTTATATTCTTTGGGTCTTTCGGTATAGTCACGTAGATATAAGAAAAAATAAAATAATAATAATAAAAATGAAAATTAAGTGAATAAAACATAACAAAAATATCACGACGTTTCAATCGCAACACAAGCAATCTTTTTTTTCTTTCTCCTGATGACGATTGCTTGTGTTGCGATCGAAACGTCGTGATATTTTTATTATGTTTTATTCACTTAATTTTCATTTTTATTATTATTATTTTATTTTTTCTTCTATCTACGTGACTATACCGAAAGACCCAAAGAATATGAATTCCTGCAGTCACGAAAGCTTTAAGTCAAGATTTAACAACGTGTTATTTTATAATATGCAACTTAAAGACTTCATTTCCACAATGATACTGTGAAATACAAGCATTAACTTTCGATTAAAAAAATTGTCTTCAATGTTAACTTAAGACTCAATATTGTGCTTGAGTTTTGGCTGCAGGCTTGCAGTGAGAAACAATCAATTAATTGGAACAGTACTCTATTTGACTATTGATGAAGGTACAGGTGACCCCCGACTTACGACTGCTCGACTTGCGACCGTTGTCCAGGAACCAATTCGGTCATAGTTGCGGGGGTGGCCTGTGATGTTTTCCTTTGGGTTAACGCGTTAGTGGAACTTACCGAGGTGGCCTCTTGAATGGACCCAAAACTCCTGATGAAGACTTCACAGGAGACGTTGACTGCGGGCCCTGCAAGTCAGCACGCAGATAAGGGATGTCACGGACTCGTAATGCCTGCGTGAGTTCACCTCGCAGACGTGTTAAACGCATCAAACACAGAACGCCCCAATGTTGACGTTTCCATCTGGAGCAGTGGTTCTTAATAAAAACCCGGGGTACACGCTTAACCTGAGGGTGCGAGATGCCCTTTCTGGGGTTGCGAGACATGGCCAGATGTTTTTTAGAAGGTAAATTATCAAATGACAAATGAAGTACGGACACGTAAGTACAACTATTTTGTTTCATCAAACCTCTACGTGTTTATTTACATTGTACCTGTTTTAACCATTGAAAACCAACGGAGTGCAAGGCTGCAGTAAAGGTTAAAAACCTTTGATCTAGAGGGACAACATCGTTTCTTAATCCAGATTACACCGTCACTGCGATTCTCTTTCCACAAGCACATTTCCCTGCATCCCACCAAACAGTTGTGATGATGTGTCTCTATACTGTAATATACACTTACCTTGGTGTATATTTACCACCTCATAGTATTGTCACAAAGAAAAACAACAAAGCTACCTCCAAAATTAGGCCGAACTCTGTGATTGTAGCCAGATGATGGACCCAGGAGCTTGTCCAGGACCTCAGAGGGTGAGAGATTTGGACCTGTGGTCGAGTCAGCTCTGCAATGATTAATATATTACTTCAATACATTTTGTTAGAGTAACAAAGGCACACCTCATTAGGATGAAATACTTTAAACTACACACTTTTATTTTATTTTAAACTATTAAGCCATTTTTAGTTTTACCAGCTAATGTGTGGGCCAGAAGCAACCTGGTCACACATGATAGCTCAACGAATTAGCTTTGTTACGTGGATATTTATAGCAGCCAAATGCTCTAAACACATGTTCTCAAATGTGAAGGGAAAAACTGGAGGACCCGGAAATAAATGTACGCGACCACGGGAAGAGAGACATGCAAACTTCAAATATACAGCAGGCATCATGGTTGGGATCAGGTTTGAACCCACTACCTCCTGTATACCAGGCGAGGTAGTTCACATCTCGCTACCGTGGCATCCTTATGTTGTAGTCGATAGGCCAGTGGCATGTATTCATGCTTCAATTACACTGGTCAACACACTTTTTCTGGCATAAGGTATTCCAACGGTTTTAAGGTAATTTTGGGGTGCTGATCAGTTTTCTGTCTATCACATCCGGTTTTTGAGATATCAAATATTGCATTTTCAATAAAAACTGCAGAAGAAAAATATTAAATAAATGTGGATATCTACATAAAATGATATTGTAAACACACTATCCTAGAAATACAGCACCATATTTTAACACTAAAGCAGTCACTGACTCGCAACAACTTGCAATCCTAAGTGACAGAGTTAATTTCGGGTAAAATCAATGAAAATAGGGTATGCCGATAGCATAAAAATGAGATGTGATATAGCAAATCTGAGATCAGATTTGGAATCAGCACCCTGAAATTAGTCTAAAACAGCTGCAAAAGTCCAGGCCAGAATTTTTTGTTTTTGACCAGTGTTATTGATGTCCACACCCATGGATCTGTAACGGGTTCCAGAGAAACTTGTAGAGGTAACTTCTTTATTACAATCCAACAGCACTCCAACAGTCCAACACTCCAACAGTCCAACTACTCTAACAGTCCAACAGTCCAACTACTCTGTTACAGCCTAGGTACACAGCCTAGGTACACAGCCTAGATACACTACTCTGGCTACGCTCTGGAACTCGCCCTCACAAGGACGTAGAGCCGGGAGTTCCAGAGTCCCACCACTCGCTCTCACAGCATCCCAGGGTCGTCAGATGGCTGGTCTTGGGTCTTGAGCTACAACTGGCTCTGATTGTCCAGGGAGCTCCCCTTTTATGCCTAGTCCCCAACGAGGGGTGGGGCCGTGTGCGCCCCGTCTCGCACGTGATTAATTGGTTGCATTGGCGGTTGCATTTGTGTGTTGCTTTCATTCTATCTCTGTATTATATGCCGGGGGTGTCCATTATGCTTGAACAACACTGCATTTAAGTACACTCATGCTTTGGTTATGATCAGTCACAAGGCAATGATGATACTTAAATGCTATCTTTATACAAACAGTAAGCTGAAGGCTTGTATGAAGTGCCTGTTTCATTTATTGGCAGAAAAACTACCTGGAGTCAATCTGCGATATAGACTGGCCAAATGTACAGATTGCAGTGGTGATTTTGCAATTTTATACCAGACATTGGGGGAAACCGACTTTTTGGCAACGCGAGTATATCAAGCTGTGATCAATATTTATGTTTCTTGCATCATTAACAACTTTATTTGAGAACCGGAACTTTCCCGGGGAATTCCCTTTGTTCACTCAAATCAGTCAGCGAGGCCTCCCATGGGTGGCATAGAAATGCATCATACTAAGATAACGGTTACTCAGAGATTCACGGTAACACTCCACTGACAATTCTAGAGCGTGCGATGACGTGACGTTGATAATGTTGACGATCATGCTGACATGCAGGTTCTGTTTGTGAAAGAAGCAAGCCCTTGTTTTGTTCTGTGTTTTACCAACCTTACCTTGTTGTGTGACTGCTCAAAAAGCACAGGACGGCCAGAGAGTTTATAATCCATCGGGCCATGGTTGGCGAGGTATTTTGTTTCCTGCAGGGAAAACAAAATGATTCAAACTTCTGCTGCAAACTTATTTACGAGACATATTGTTACACTTGCTTTTCCATTATGTGTGTTTTTATTACAATAGCATTCGAAGCCGTTTCAGTCCCACGGTTGTACTCATCCGACAAACCTTTATGAAGCATGTGACAATGTCAGCTCTCTGCTTGCAGTTGTATTTGGGCCGTGTATTTATACTCGGTGCTGAGGAATTTATGGACGGGTGCAGCAATGCCAGTAACCCAACACATGGCCGCCTCATTGTTTATTTTTTGCTATGGAGCCACTCTTTGACCTTTGCCTCGGGGGTGTTACCTCGATCACATGATTTGGCTTAAAGGCACCAGCCTCGACACTCGCCTCAACCTAGAGGATCCGGCTTTCGTTGGCCTCGACACTCGCCTCTGCGTAAAGGCTCCCAGCCTTGGCGTTGGCTTGGCCTTGTGGCTACCAGCCTTGAGTTCAAGACTGCATTTGCTATAGCAGCAATTGACAACTCCCCAACACTGACTCATCCTTTTACAAACTACAGTAAGAATTCCTTTTACCCCCAGCGATTTGGGGAATTAACACCGATGACCCTGTTATCTGAGATGTTATCCGCATATTTACTCTAAATATCTGTGAAAAACATTCCGGATATTAGGGTCGTCTTGCTGATGAATAATTACAGATAATCAGAGTTATGATCTAAAATTTGCTGAGAAAAGGGCCACACGGGACATTACGTGTGGATTAACCTGTGGGAAATCAGAATTTTCCACACAACTCCACCTACAGTATATGCAAAAAGATGTCCGTAGATATTGATATCTGCTGTGAATTACCACAATGTTCATACTATACTAGTCAAGATTTAATGTCTATACTGCCTGGGTGCGTGGAGGTGGACATTTTCCCTTGAGTGGTGGCTGCATATTTGCATTACACATCAATCCCGTAGGCTATTTTTTCAGCACCATGTTCAAGAATTGCATATATCCCACTAGTAATAGGGTGGAATTTCCACGACTATTTATCTATGATAAACATGTGGATAATAAGAAACCATTCCACTGTGCAGAATGTGGATAATTGCAGGTAATAGGAAGAATTGGACACAGATGTCAAGTATACATGGACCATACAGTGCTTGTATCGTAGGCTATATGATCGCAGAGAAGATAATGTTTCTCATCTTGCGAGATGTCACAGTTGGTAGAGACATTGATGCATAATTGGAAGTTTTGAAGTTAAGATCAAAATTAGGAGTTGGCTCAGCTCTTTCTCTTTCTCGGGTGGATAAAATCAGGACCACCCTGTAGGAAGTAAAAACCTGTTTCCTGTGTATGGAATTTCCGCTGCCATAAGAATGTTAATTGTTCATCACTTTATTATTATTTCGTGTCAGCAATAGCTATATTAATGTCGAGGATGTTGACGCGTAATACGTTGCAGGAGAGAAGTTGTGACGGCTGCGTTGTTGCACGTGAATAGTCGAAGTTGTGGGTAGTGTTGCGCGATGTCCTCTCAGATTTGGGATTCGCATCCACAACTGCATCAGACCACAAACAAATTAATGCCTCTCCAAGCTCATTTTACAGAGTAGCCACTCAGACGTTTTATAGATACAGTATTGTCTAATGTTTTAAGACAATATACTTCAATATGACTATTTCCATCACTCTATAAACTATAATTTATGGAGCTCAAACCAGACTTCTATTGTTTTTATTTATTGCTTTTGGAACCCACATGCTCTCGTGATGGTTATGTGATATTGCACATTATTTCGCATGCACATGAAACGCACCGGATTCCTATGTCTTGGTAAAGGAATGGCTGTAAAATGTTAATGCCACCAGTAGATGGCGAAACTCACACACTGGCAGTGGACCGTGTAATGGTGGCACGTAGATTCAGTGCTACCGTGGGTAGCCGTGTAAGATGACGCCTTCAAAGCACCACAGACTGCTCGCTGTGGAAGTTCGCCACTGCTGCATGGGGGCGTGTGGTCGGGAAGATGTAATGATGAATCAACTCATTGAGTATCGTCGTTCATGCCTTCCATGTCACACGCATGATTGATTCAGACTGTTTCATTACACTCCATAGGTGCTGAATTCAATGCAGTATTTTTTTGTATTAATTGCATGGTTATAAAATAAATTGTGGTGACTTGTATTTGTGGATAATGTTTATAGGCATCTTCATTACGAAGCTCGCACTCATAACAAACTTGGCTGAAAAAAGCCGGTTTGGAAGGAAAGCAACTGCTATTGGGTTAATAGTAGTGTAGTGACATATGACGTCACTATTATGTCGGGACTGTACGATCGTAGGGACATATGACGTCACTACCGTGTCGGCTCGGTATGGGGGCTGTAGGCGGGTGTCACAGGGGTCGTGTCAGGCCGTGGCACTCCTGTGAACCCAACAGGACACGTGACCGGATAAAGGGGGGGCCGGGGGCCCCAGGGGGAAGCTTAGCGGTCACGTGGTTGGGGGCCCGGACCTTCCCGAAGGATCGAGAAGGGGGGCGTGGCCTGGGGTGGAGCCGGCCACGCCGGAGCGGTTATAAGCGGGATGTGAACGGAGAGCTGGGCTGTTCTACTCCGGGATGAAGATGCCATGAGAAGTCCTCAAGTCTCCGATCGTCGTTCGTGACCAGGCAGCCGTCACTTGCCCTCGGTCACGCTGTGTAGTGTTCCCCGAGTGTTAGTGAGATTTGGAAAGTGTATAGTGTTCACGTTGGTGTTATCTATATATATGTAAAAGGGAAATTTGTGAATGTGTGTCTGTTTAAAATGTTTAGCATACTTCCCGACATGCAACAAACTTGAAATTTGGCATGTGGGTAGCTTCCAGACTGTACACAATGCAAAAAGTATAAAAAAATACTTTTGTATTTGGGGGGGGGGGGGAGCGCAATAATGGATATATTTTGCACGGCAAGTGAGTTGTGACGTCACATCTGACGTCACCCGCATGCGGCAGCGTTACGCAGTGTGCCTGCTGACATCACGCATGCCCCCCCACCCTCCGCGTACGCCGTGTATTAATCCAAGACAAGAATCCAAGTCCCGGGCGAAGCCGGGTAGTAAAGCTAGTGTGTTAATAAATAGTGTTGCCTCCAAGTCGAGTGTGCGCCTCAATCTAACCCATTACAGTAGTATAAATACGAGGCTTTTAAGAGGTGTGTAATCGTTCACCCTTCCATAAATGTCACGAATTGCCACGATTATTGGTCAAAATTTGATTCAAGAATACATCTTTTTTTTTCTTCTCGTATCTAACACCTATATTGATTCTAAAATGTTCTGTCACTTTGTATAATACTTCCACTCCGTTTGCCTCGATATAAAATGTACATCATTACCATAATTAACAAATCATAATTTCCCACAAGTCTGTATGACCACTGCAGCCTCATACATCCATACCTCCATCTCCCTCCCCATCTCTAACTCAGCCCGTGACCCTTGCACTCTGTGCAGATTCACCCCCAGTGTCGCCCTGGCTCTTGCGAAAGTAATCTCATCCATGAAAGCCACCAACTGCTTCCTTCACAAAAGGAGACATTGGAATGGGAGGTGCTCATCTACATTGAAGCCCTTAAACTGGTTGTATAAATTCCATAGTCATAGAACTGTGGTCAGTTTCTCAACAGAGAAAACACTGTTTTACTACCCACAACCCAAAAAGTATAATTACCATTGATCAAAATCTGCCATGTCTGACATGTGCCCCATTCTGGCCTCTGGTAGACGGAGACAGTTCATGGAGCGACGCTCCAGTGGGGAAGCGGTGAGGGAGATGCTGCTCTTCCACGGCACCAGCAAGGACATGGTGGAGCCCATCTGCCTCCAGAACTTTGACTGGCGCATGGGTGGCACCCACGGCAACAAGTATGGCAAAGGTAACGTGGACTCCGCATGTCCTCACACATACACTCCAGATTGCACTGCGTTTCAGATGCAGTTTAGTCCTCAGATATAACCCAGAAATACTTTACACTATTGTAGTTGTTTAATCTGGAAGATCTGCACAAGCATGGATGTGTATTTACTTACAAACGATTATTTATCTAGTAATATAACAATGTATTTTGACTAGTCAATACCTCTGTGTGCTATAGCCACGAGTGACAAAAGTTGACATCAATTTTTATATAAAACAATTCTGATCCACACCACGAGTATCATATAAATAACATGGTGAATGTATTTTAAGATCTTTCGTCCATATGATTGTAGATAACTTAATAAATTAACTATTTCGTTTCCCCAAGCCATTTTCCTTAGATAACAGTAAGAGTCAAGCATACCATTTTGTAATTACCTTCTTAAATCACATGGTCCTAATGGCCAGGGGAAAAAAATTGCACAAAAACCGGAATAATTACAAATGCTGCATGGGAATACCAGGAATTTTTCCAAAAGACTAGTGAACCTGAGACTGCAAAAAATAGTTAACCATTTCCCCATTCAATTGGGAAATGCATGCCAACCAGCCACTCAGTTGTTGATGTTTAATGCACTGAAAGCCCAATACAGTGAGCTCACACACAACGCTAAACAACAGATGGCACACGCTGCAACTGCCCGAGTTCTTGGCCAGATAAAACATGAAGTGTCCTTTGCACACATCAGCACCCTTCTAAAATTAAATCTGGCTCGTATTACATAGGGGGGGGGGGGGGGGTGACATATGATATCGTCATTGGGTCGCGTTCGGTAGTTAACAAGACAAGAGGGACTAATGAATGTGAGCAGCACATCACAGGCAACATCACATGTGACCAGTAAACATTGACCCTGAAGGGCAAGTCCTTACCCCACAGTTTTTAAACTGAGATTCAGGTATGGCCATCAGTGGTAGGAACAACAAGGGCCAACTGGAGCGTGCATACTCTCTACAGCTGCCGAAGACACATAGATGAATCATTTGGTGACAGGGAAAAAGGGGTGACCACGTAAAAGTTGTTTTTCATATTTCTTGTGCAACCAACAACAGATGTGGACATATCACGCTTTTGGAGGGATGCCAGCATAAGCTTAAATGAGAGTGCTTATTATATAAGACCGCTAGAGTCTACACTCGCGCGATGGAGCAAACTCTTGACTGCGATTTTCATAAAAACCTGTGAAAAGCAAGAGCAACATTGGATATATTACTGGGGTGTAGCCCGTTCTATGTACATGATAATATAATCAATAAGCTAACAATATCGGTCACATACCTACCTGATCATAGTTTTTCCCTTTTTTTCTGGCAACAAAACAGGTGTTAAGATTTTAAAACACCAAACTGAAACCTTTTACAAGGAATCATGTCTGCATTAACCACAATGCTTGTGGTCAGAATGCAAACAATAAAGATACTCTGATAATATATGCATTGTGCTTGAAACTGATTGGTCCACACCAGAGACAGCTTTCTTTTGAGCCTCATCTCAAACCGTGTGCATATATTACCAGAGTCAGTTTTATGTTTGCATTCTGACCACAAGCATTGTGGTTAATGCAGACATGATTCCTTTTTAAAGGTTTCAGTTTATTGTTAACAATTTAACACCTGTTTTCGTTGCCAGAAAAAAGGGGAAAAACCTATGATCATATTTTGGTACTGGCAAAGGAGATCCCATGACACATACCTATCTCTCAACATCAAAAGAAAATATTTTTACACATCCCATCGGACACAAGGCCTTCTGGAAATGTATAATTTCAGCAGTATCAATTCATCACAAGCAAACTCGAGACCGGTTACAATCCTTCTCTTGCTCCCCTTTTTTATTAACGAAAACTATTTTAGATTTTATCAGATAAGGCCCACTGAGCTATATAGCTCTTTTTCAGAAGTGATCTGGCCACACATGATAGCCCAATGAAGTCGCTTATTACGTGGAAATTTATAGCAGCCAAATACTCTAGACGAATGTTTCTAAATGTGGAGGGAAAACCCGGAGGACCCGCAGAAAGATCCACGCGACCATAGGGAGAACATGCAAACTCCAAATGTACAGTAGGCGTCAGGCTTGGGATTGAACATTTCGTCACACTAACCCCTATCCCCTGGCAATCCTCAAATTTATACCCCTACTAAAGGGCACACTGCATTGGACCCCAATATAGAGTGATTCCCCTTGAGGAAAACTTGGAACACGTCCCACTGACTTGTGCTGTGGCTAGTAATGAATGTAAATCAATGGGGGTGGAATTAAATAATCACTCCACCACAATGCCTCACACATATACACTCAATATACACACAACTCAATAATGGATTGACAAAGGACTGTGAATGATACTAATAATTATTTGAATTCTTAAAGTTCAAAGGTAAATATCAAATACAGTGATAAAGGCTGCATGCCCGGATAACAATTATGTCTCGATCGCCAAGTGCGGACAGTGCAAGACTGCTGACCATTTTGGTAATAATTCACAGCCGTTTGTCATTTCACCGCCAACGAACGCCTCCCCACAACGTCTTGCAGTGGTGTTTTTGATCATGCTTCACCATGCAGGTCGACGAAGGTGGGAGGGGGGGCAAGAGCTGGGAGTTAAACATCACTCCGCCGTTCGCCGTGGCCAGGGTTTGTCATAACCGTGCTTTGGAAGCCGTTCTCATTTTGCAACGTAGGTATTTACGTTTGACACTGAAATACTTCATCAGGCTGTCGCCTTATGAAGCTGGTTGTAATCGCCAGCGAAACCTCATGCTACTCGAATTGTAAATGTTGCTGGGTTTAATCTCCAACAGATACCAGTGTGCTAAAGTAGTGACTAATTGGCACGTTTTGTTTCCGTGACAAACCTTACTAAATTGGCTGCATTGGGGTGGTAACGGCTTTAACGACACATTTATATTTACGCGATCTCACCCAAAAAGAACCTCTTATGGGTAGGTATTTCATGACTAAGTTGTGTCCACCGTGCAACGCGGTGCTCATACTGTGCTTTAGGCTGCTACTTTGGCCGAGACGCTCGCCTCGCTCACCGCTACGCCAGTGCGGGCAAGGCCGGGGGCACTACGTGCCACATGTTCGTGGTGAGCGTTCTGGTGGGGCGCTTCACTCGCGGATACTCATCCTACCTTCGCCCACCTTCACGGGACGACACCAAGACCAATTTATACGACAGCTGCGTCAACGACGTGAACGACCCCACCATCTTTGTGATTTTTGAAAGCAGCCAGGCCTACCCGGAGTACATCATCCAATACCGTGCAGACTGAGTGGCAACGGAGCCAACGATGCTGCCACCTCAGCCCATAGGAGCTTTGTCCATCAAGTTTCCCTGTGGTGATTCTAGACTCCAAATGGCTTTGGAGGTTTTAAGCAGAACATTTTGTTGTTAAACATTAACTATTGCTCATTGACTTCATACTTTCTCCAACTGTCCCAGACACACACATTTATGATTTACAGTAGCTGCATGTTCAGTAGTTTCCTCTTGCCGATGATGACACACACTTAGAATTCACGATTTGAAGGTGCAGGGTTAATTTTTAACTCTTTTTATACCTCCTAGTTTTACCACCCCCTGCACACCCAGGCGAAGCCAAGTCCGTCTTCCCGCCAACTCTCTCCAGCACCTTTCCCACCCCATCCTCCACCATAAGTTATGCACACACAAAAAAACAACTCAACACGGTCGTCAATAGCACTGCCTTAAAACAAATATATTCTACATCATGGGACCTCCTTTGCCAGTACCAAAATATGATAATAGGTTTTTCCACTTTTTTTGTTCTGGCAACAAAACAGGCCTTTTGGCATCCTCTAGTCTAACACCGTTTGAGACGAGGCTCAAAAGAAAGCTGTCTCTGGTGTGGACCAATCAGTTTCAAGAACAATGCATATATTATCAGAATATGTTTTTTGTTTGCATTCTGACCACAAGCATTGTGGTTAATGCAGAGATGATTCCTTGTAAAATGTTTCAGTTTGGTGTTTTAACATCTTAACACTTGTTTTGTTGCCAAAAAGGGGAAAAATCAAGTATATTCTGGGCAACGTTTCGGGCAATCTCTCTTCTTCATAGCACAAACCGTTATGCAGGTGGGTTTGATGCAGAGAAAATGCTGGGACATCGAAGATTGGATGCCAATCAGGCAGGTATAAATGTGAGAGACAAGATCAACTGATAGCAACTGACATTATGCCATAAGTAGTGGCTCCGGTTCTGTGTCTGCACTTACATTGCCTTGATATGATGCAGGACGTAAGTACCCCAAGGATAACACACATCATTGATGATCATTTCTCATCTCAAGCAGGACTTTGTGACTGTGTTCATGCAACCGCAGAAGTGGTTCACCGATCTTACAAATCCTCTCGAGAAATGTACACCTGCTACAGCGACGAGTGGATCATTCAAACACAAGCACCGTATCTAAGATTGCCTCAACAAACTTGTTAATGCATAGAACATGTCAAGATAAAGCGATGAATACTAAATATATATTCTTAGTCAATGGGGATTTAATATTGATGGTCTTGTGTCCAACTATATGTTTGCTAAGTGCCTTCAAATACCCAATATCTGTTAATATTGCAGGTAATTTCAGATTATAATTCAGCTTTCATCGTTGCATGTGAATGAAACATTTATAACATTTATACCCGTCCTATCATTGGTTACATTACTCAACGTAAACACAAAATAAATCATCCACAAGTTTAAAGTAATTGCATGTTGTGATTGCCTTATGTGAATATTTGAGGGAAATACCATGAGGATCATTCAAATGCTGAATAAATGATGAGCACAGCTGGTATTATGTGATATAACATTTCGTGAGTGATGGTATGATGTCAGACGATGTGATTTAATTTAATTGTTGCAGTCAAATGGTACTTCACCACACTCGTCAATGCAGGCTGGTGAAAGTGGGGAGCATATGTGTGGGAAAAGAAGTACAGAACAACATTGGGCTTTTCTGTCATGCCCTCTGGTGCCCACCACATAGCCCTGCAGCCTTTAGCCATATCAGCCACAATAAGCCCGCTCTCATTAGATATTGGAAGCCGTCGGGTAGAACCTGGTCCGTAAGTTTCAAACGCCATCAAAAGATAGGAACTGCTGATTGTTTTCTTTCATATGCACATATGGGTGTGTGCTTTTACACATATGTTGCATCTTGACTAAAAGTTATGATTTTCCTGCCTGCCCTATTAGTGTGTTGATGGGGTTTTCCCCGTCATTTATAGATTTGATTTTTTGAACCGGGACCACAAAACAGCATCTTGTTATGTTGTGGCCCAGGGGAGGCGCAGTTGAGGGGGTACGGAGTACAGTGACGGAGAGCTAAGGAAGAGAGAATGAAGGCTGGGCTAGGCGGGATTAAAAAGGAAATGCGGGGCATGTGGCGGGCATAGAGAGAGAGAGGAGCGCAGGACGGGGAGAGATAGAACGGCGTGCAGTAGAGACTCGGGGGACAACTGCACAGCGATACAGAAACACGGAGACAAAGACACCGAGAGAGAGAATCATGGAGACAGACAACCGAGAGAAAGAAGGAGACAGAGACAAGGAGACAGAGACATGGAAAAAAGGAGGCAGAGACACCGAGAGAGAGAGAGAGACAAGGAGATGGAGAAAGACAGGGATATAGAGACACAGAGACCAGGAGAGAAATAGGTCTACAGTAGATATATAGACAGACAAGGAGACAGACAATAATTAGAGACAAGGCGATAGAAACAAGACAACGACACATAGACATAGATACAAAGAGACAGGTATAGACAGAGTGAGTGTAATATAGAAATAAGGAAATTGAGAGTTGGGGTGGTGAGAATAGAGATAGGCTCAGCGGAGAGCTAGCAAAACAGAAATGGTGGGAAACAAGGCACGTGGTTGAGGAAGAGTTTTGGTGGGAAACAGCATCGTATCCATTTGTGTGAAAACAAAGTGTAGATGTTTTGGTATTGGTGAATCGGATTTAGTGTTCATCGATTCTAAGGGAATTGATGATTATTGGTATTGGTGAATCAGCGGTAATAATGATTTTGTCGCAGAATTCAGCTTTATTATGATGTATAATTGAATTGTGGGGTTCGGATTTATTGTGATTGAACTGTGCAATATGTATTATTGGATGGTTGCAGAATTTGGGGTTTGTTGTTGTTGGACTTTATATATTATCAGTGTCACAGAACTCGGTGATCGTACTGCAGGACTATATTTGATCTTTCTGTGGCCATTGACTGGATCTCATTCAAGCGTGTTGGGATTAAAGGGCTTTACAATAAAAAGATACAAAGGGAAGGATTGACTGTCTCAAAATGAAGTAGCGGTGGATATATTGACAAATTTTCAGGTAATTTTTGGGAGATGGCATACCTAAAGTATATAGAATGCAGGCAAAGCCCATTACCAGTTACTAATACACTGTCGGAATTCAAACTAAACTCACATTACACACGCACATAACTCAAGATTTACTTCAGAGTTTCGGTATTGAGAATATCACTTCTTGATTGATGCTGTAGTCATTCAACCTTATTCTAAAGCATGTGTGGAATTACATTTTTTTAAATGTTAAAGTCAAGTACGTGATCAGGGTGGCATGAGGTTGCCTGAGAGTTGCCACCAACGTCAATTAAAGGTCAGTTTTTGTCTTTGGAGCAATCGAAGAATTGGGACGAGGAGATTCCTACCACAGCAAGAAGACATCTATGGTGTAAAATCTGCACAGATCTCCCCATCCATAGAACGCTGCAAGGAATTGCAATCTTTCTTCACCAGAAACATCAATCTCATCAGCAATTCAATAACTCCAGTGGCACTACCTGCCCCGTTTTGACACAGAATCCCATCCTGTCCTCGACCACTTCCTGCCCATTATGCTGCCCGACCTCCAGCGGATATCATGGGGTGCGCTGGACGACTTGTGACCTGGACCCCTGTCCCTCCTGTCTCCTTTGGGAGTCCTTTGGTCCAATGGCCCGGTGGCAGTACATCTGAATAACTCCTCTCTCCTACAGGGCAGGGTCCTCCTGTCATTGAAAAAAGCATTGATAAGACCATCGCTCAAGTAACCAGGTTTGGACGTTGGCCAGCTGGCTAATTGCTGTCCGATCTGAAACCTTCCTTTTGTAGGGAAGCTGTCTCGATTCAACTGGAATCCTGTCTAGATATTTTTACTCAACCCAGTCCGGGTTCAGGGCTCTGCATGGAACAGATATGGCTCTAGTTTGCATAATGAATGATCTCCTTCAGGATATGGATGATGTATATCTGTCTTTTTCACACGAGATCTATTTGCTGCCCTTGATACCATTGATCATTGAGTGTTGTTGTGACACATGAGGTCCCTCACTGATACTCAGATCTACATCTTTTTTATGTCAGATCCAGACGCCACGATCTCTACCCTATCAGAATACTTGTCTGAAGTCGCTGTTTGGATAGAGAAAAACTGTCAGAAGCTAAACCTGGACAAGACAGGGTACATGTTTGTCAACTCGGAGCAGCGTTTAATAGCATGGCAGGGCCAGATCGATCCTTCACTGATGAACGGAGCTCGCCCTCTCCCTTTGTCTGAAGTACGCAACCTCGGTGTGCTGTTCGATTAGAGCTTGACTATGCACTCTCCGGTCACAGCTACAGTCAGAGGAGATTTCTACCACCAAATTCTCCAAGGATTGTGCCCACTCCTCTCTGCCCCAGACCTGGAAACATCAGTTCATGCCTTTGTCTCAACACGCGTGGACTATGGGAATGCCCTCTACGCACAGCTACCACTTGGCTCCATGTAGTGCAGAATGCAGCTGCCCAGATGATCCGGTGGGTTAGACGTTTTGAACACATCACGCCCACCTTCCGCAGCTTGCATTGGTCTGCTTCCGCATCCAATTCAATGTTGCTCTCCTAACGTACAAGACACTGCATGGCTTGACACCTATCTACTTGCAAAACCGCATCTCCCTTCAATCATCAGGCACGTACAACAAACTCCGTTCCACGGGATTGGCAAGACTTGCCCAGCCCAGGATTGTTCACCCGACGCTGGACATCCAAACGCATAAAATGTCTCTCAATTCCTTGGTCTGTGCAAGACTCACCTGCTCAGACTTTCCTTCCCATAACATTTAAAATAAAGTAAAAACGGTTTCTTTACTCCAGTTATTTTATAGGTTTTGATTTCTTTACTACGTACCTTTGTTATGCTATTCGTTGTGTGCGGTTGTACTTTAATTTGCGCACGGTTGCAGTTTACGTTGCTCAGTCGGTGTTAGCCGTCGAGATCGTGACGGTTTCTTTTTGCTCTATGCCCATTTTACCGTTCTCGTTCCTTTGTAATGTGCACTGATTCCGACTTTATTGAGGGCGATATTGGTACGTAAAATAAAAAATGATTTGAGACACAAGAGGCTGTATGTTTGCACTTTCTGGAACAGTTCTATAAAGAAATTAGTTTAACACGTAGGCTTCCGCTCCCAATCTCCATAATAAAGGTTTTTTTGGGTTAGATCGCGTAAATATAAATGTGTCGTTAAACCCACCACCACCTGACACAAGTGGTGGTGGGTTTAACGACATTTTTGCGATCTAACCCAAACAAATTCTGTTTTATAGAGATTTTAGTCAGTTGGAAAAAAGTATTAATTCCGCTGCATTTTGTGGACTAGCTGGATTCTACACGTGTGTACGTGTGTGTGGGCATGCTTAACAGAACATTAATGTAAATAAGCTTGTATGTGTCAGGAGGGTTATATCATTTTGATCAGTTCTGACTTTGGGCAAGATTGTTGAAAACATACAATTTTCTTGGTCAAAGGCATTTAAAAATGTAATTTGGATACACAAGCGTCCCTTTAAACTTGAGGCGTCTTCTTGCATAACTAGCAGGGTTGTGTTATATCAGGGATGAGGAACGTCCGGCCCGCGGGCCGTATAAGGCCCGCGAAATCATTTGGTCTGGCCCTGCCCAGGCAACCGCAGGCGGGACTCGAAATTCAATAAATCTCGGAGCAAACCTGGACAAGCAGTTGCGAGTAGCAACATCATCAATACCAGCTAACATCACACGCCTCACCAAAGAGATACAGTTCCAGCCATCACATTCGGGGTGAGTTAATTAAATGTTCGACCAAATATAACAGGCAAATTTTTAAGTTGATAATTTTGTATGGCCCGCGAATGATGTTAAAAATATCCAAATGGCCCTTGTCAGAAAAAAGGTTCCCCACCCCTGCGTTATATGATATCTGCTCCGGGTCGTGGTTTGGTGTTTAAATATGACAAGAGGGACGAACTGGTGCCATCCACGCATAACTGACAACATCCAATACAAGCAGTGGGTCGTGGACATGTCGCAGTGAGTCATCGCTGAACAGTTTGTGGCACGAGGCTGGTGCGTGGGTTTATCTGGCCTGCACCTCCCACACAAGAATGTGCCTATCGCTCCTGAGGCTGCGTTGTCGAATGGCTGGATCACAGGAAATAGGTGACTCGTCCAGGAAAACTTCAGCAGTGATGGAATTAGACACTCCATGAAGTAATATAATTTTATCAGCACAAATAACCAATTGCTAATTCCAGCTGTGAGAGCAAACGCTATGGCAACATCACCATTACAAGTGTAAAGACTGACGACAAAGTAGTAAGAGCCACTTTTTATTTGGACACAGCCATAATAAAGAACCCAGCTCGTAACTTCTTCCGAACGTCCCCACTCCAA